GCCTAGCCATAGCCCTGGGCCCCGAAAAGCCTTTTCATTCCCATGGGTCTCCGAAAAACCTGACTATAATCCCGGGTCCCGACAAGCCTGGCCATAACAATGGGTACTGGCGAGCCTGGCCATAGTCCCAGAGTCACAATTCCTTCCAACATCATTTCTTACAGCTTTATTGCAGAATAATCAATGATTTTTTAGCCTCCTAAATTTGATGCAGAATAATCAATGATTTTTTAGCCTCCTAAATTTGATTCGTGTAGGATGTTCAGTTTAAACAACTAAATCAAGAAAATGAGCTGTACGATTTTGTTGGTGTACATTCATTCAATGGCGGAGGTGTAGTACCGCTCGGGGTGATCCACAATGTTCTAGCCCCCCCCACCCCCACCCCACCCCCTTACGCAAAAGTATGCATTTTTTCGAAAATCTCACCCCCTCAAAATATAGAAAATGTGGCGTCAGCGGCGGACAGTGCCCCCCCCCCCCGCGGCACCCTTTCTACTTCATACGCCAGAGTATCCCTAGCATAAAATTAAATTAGGGGTTCAGGGAACGCCCTGGTAAGTCGAATACTGACGTATTGGTCAATTTTGTAAACGTAAAATTATAATTATGAAAACGATACAATTTCAATGTTTTTGTTTTTTTTTTAGAAAAATCAATTTGAACAATACAAATTTATTATTTTTTTTTATTCGCTAGCGCAAAAGAAGATTTTTTTTAAAACAAACAGGCTTATCATTTTAAAATTAAAATGGTGTACTGATCGTACGTCCTTCCAATAGATGAAGCCTACAAGTGTGATACAGGGAATCTCAAACAATGCTCCATCAAGCATCATTCAACGTACCGTGCGAAGGAAAAGCTGCGTCCTGGGTGAAGACTGAAAATGACACCCCCCACCACACCCCACCCACCACCCCCTACACACACTTTTTTCAATAATAAAAAATACATGCTATCGGCATTTATATAAATATATGTATATTTTGTAAAGGTACGGCCCTGATCACACATTAAACTTACATAATATATAATATTTTCAAAAAAACACACCAGTTTCGACAGTTTTTTTTTTTTTTCGCGTTTACATGGGACGTAGCCAACACTGATAATTGAACTATGCGCGAACAACGCACGCCCTTGATCTATCGGCGTACACGGAGCAACACAGTGTCTGTCACTATGTTCATCTTCATCCTTTGTTCTTTCCGCCCCCCCCTCCCCCAACATTGCTTTCGCCATCAGCAGGGTATGGTTCAATACGTTCCTTTGTGCGATCACGAAGATGCTGCAAATAATGCTAACAGTATATCATTGATACGTTGTACCTTGTGGACAATGACACGTAAATTATTAATTAATATAATAAATATTTTTTAATGTACCATACCATGCCGTACCGGTATGTGATTTATAAGATAAAAAAAAATTAAGAATGGAATGGAGTGGAGGGGGGTGGGGCTGCGGCACCACTATTATATCTTATCTACAACACACAAATATGATCCCTACTCCCTTAGATAACCCCCACAATATAATTCAGTTGAATCACTCTAAAACGGGCCCCGAAATTAAGTCCATGCATTTTTTTTTTAAATGACGCTAAAAAGACTTTGATAAACAACCCTTAAAAACAAAGTTGTTCTTCATAGCATGTAATTTTGAGCAATATAGGAGTAAGGGGGGGGGGTCTGAATGAGAGAAAAAGGGGGGGGCTGAATGAGTAAAAAAGGGGGGGGTGCTGAATGTTTGGAAAAAACATGGATACAAGCAACGCACTTTATAAGAATCTTAATTAGTGCTCTTTCTCTCTCCCTCCCTTCCTCCCCTCCCCCTCCCCCCGGCTGGTTCAAAAAACGCATATTTTTTCGCGCCCCTGAACTATATCAATATTCTAATGACCCACCCGCTTTCAGGCTGCAGATTTATTTGACCAACTATTTCAGAAAAACAAAAGAAAATATTACGCACCAAATGCACTTACTTATATATATATATATATATATATTAAAATTTTTAAATCTTTATTATTTTTTGTTTAAATCTCATTTAGCGCAATTATCTGGATTTTTATTTTGTGAGATCACTGTCATTATATTTCCTTCATCATCCCCTTAAAAAAACCCAGGAAAAACTGATTTTAGGGCGTTGGGGGTGGGGCTGAACATTTTATAAAATGTGTTGGTGTAAGGGTTTGGGGAAACAAAAGTGTGGGGAGTGGGGTTGTAGTTAAATAGTGACTGGTAGAAGTTAGATCCTCAAGCGTGATCGGTTATTAATTAAGGTTGGTTGGGGAGAGGGGGGTCTAGGCATGGGCGCCCGCAGTGGGGGGCAATGGGGCACTTGCCCCCCCCCCCTGGATTGATTGGATAAAAATTTTTTAGACAAAAATGTATTAAAGTAAAGAGAAAATAAAGAGAAAGTAACTAAGCTGATGCTGATCTCGTTTTACTGTGTTCTGTCCGTTCGTTCACCATACTTATACGCTGCAGTAAATTCAAACTACATTAAAGCATTACTAAAAAATTTTTGCACCCCCCCCCTAGAAAGTTTTCTGCGGGCGCCCATGGGTCTAGGGTATTATAAATGAGATAATGAAGATAGGGTATAACTTCAAAAAGGGCGAGGGGGGTACCAAGTAAATACGAGTGTGAAGAAAGCGGCTTTTTGGAGCAATCGTAGGTTTTGGTTTGGCTAAAGACCAACACATGGTGGCATTAGATATAGGACGAAGAAGGCCATATATTAAAATAAATTTGCGACTTCGCTTCAGCGCCAGGAAAAGGGGGGGGGGGGGAACCCCCCCCCCCCCCCCCCAAGGTTAAGTTAAGGTTAATAGATAGTACCCAACGATGTAGGCCTACATATTATAGAACTAAATATATATTTTAAAGGGCCCCTGATTAACATTTTGAGAAACGCAGTGTTATCATATTATGAAACCACCGCAAGAAACGACTTTGAACTTAGATATTGAACGGAACGCTCCAACACCCAACAGTTCTAGTCTGCCATTGCCAGAACGATCCTTTTAAAAATTGGGTCTGTGTGTTATGTTATCATTTACATGACCTAGATTTCAAACGTTAGGTCGTCTGGTTCTCCTCGAACTAGGACAGTGGGTCAATACTTTGTTTCTTTCTTTTTTTTTTTCTCCCTCTTCTTTTGCCTTGACATAGGACGGTACCGTCCAAAGTAGATAAAGAAAAGAGCGGCAGTGGGAAAGGGTTGATTCCTTATGTGTGCAAAATGTAGCAGTGCTTTGATTAAAATAAGTAATGAAAACATTAAAAAGCAGAAAAGTCAAGTAATAAAAAAAAGTTGACAGTATCCAGGTAAAATATAGTTATGTAGCCTGCTCTAAGTGCAGCGACCAACAACGATAATGCCATGTACCAACTTTTAAATTAATAAATCACGCAAAGTACACGCCAAAACAAAAAGGTGTGCGTGGGGAGGGGGGGGGGGAATTTGTCACAGGGACACAGTAAAATTTAAAAGGCTGCAATAAGCGTTTGCCCGATAAGTTTTTTCATTGACTGCTTTTACAAAACCAACTTTTAAATTAATAAATCACGCAAAGTACACGCCAAAACAAAAAGGTGTGCGTGGGGAGGGGGGGGGGTATTTGTCACAGGGACACAGTAAAATTTAAAAGGCTGCAATAAGCGTTTGCCCGATAAGTTTTCTCATTGACTGCTTTTACAAATCGACTTTGAGCATTCATTTTAAAGATTAAATTTCCGAAGTTTGCATTAGGACTATTTTTTGTTGTTGTTTCTTTTAACTTGTATATTAAACACATGACACTACGTCATTCTTAGCAATCATGGTTGTCTAATAAGCTAGCAGCTTACAATTTTAACCATATCAATTACCAAGACCATCAATCCGTAAAGACATGAAACTAAAATTTGGGGTAAAGACGACCCCCCTCTTGCTCCCCATGTTACACCTCTCCACATTTTTCTTTAAATTAAAGACAACCGCCTAGCCCACTTTTCCCACATTCCTCTTGCTGTCTTCTTGGTTACTTCATCGCAGCTAAGTGTTTATGTTTTATTCTATATTGTGTTTACTGTTTGTTCGATAATGAAGTCTTCTTGATCTTGCCAGGAATAGGTCATATTCAAATTTGGGTAGATTAACTATTTTTAGTTAGCCTAAAGATTATGAAGAGTAAAATAAACATTTCAAAAAGTGTCATTTATTGTCAAAAAATGATTCACTTTTCTTCCTTTGTATGGGTCATAAACTAATATTTGTAATGGCCCGAATAACTCAATAGGCCTTTAACTGTTTTAAGTTTTATCGTAGGTTTAACTTACGTGTGAGTCGTGACCCAATAAATCTTTAAAAATAAAAGACAGTGCTTAATTATATTATTATTACCAATTAACATCTTATAAGAGGACACTGTCTAAGTAGTACTATGTGTAAAAAAAATCCATTGGAAAACCATCGATCAAAAATATATGCACTGAAACAGTAAACCTACAGAGTCTTGAAAAAATTATTATGCAAATCATATAGCAAAATAGTAGACGAGCTCTGCCAGTGGTTGCCGACAGTTCAATACATCGACCATGTTCATTGAGAAGCTTATAAAACAACGGGCGAAGAAAGCGGGGAAGGATATTTGCTTAAAAGTTTGAAAGATGCTTGCTGATGCTTTTACATATGAACGGAAACGTAGTTAATTGATTGACTGATTATAATTGTTTTTTTCTCTAATTATATTGTGTGAAATTGACCGCTTTTCTTTGGCACTATGTCACTCTTGTACAGGGGGAAATACTTTGACAAACGAGGATGTTATGTAAGTATTTATTATATTGATTCTATTTAAGAAATGAAAGTACATGAAGCAATAAATTTAAACCAAAATATTAACACTTCATCAATTATTTATCGTTTGCTTAATTTTATTTTCTCAGGTCATTCTACCTGCCTCCCCTTTTGGAAGGTTCGATTCTAATGACAACACGGCGGAAGCGGATGAAGAAATCGAGGTGCTAGAAGGCCCAGAGGTTGAAATCGTAGGCTCTAGCGAGTCTGGCGAAGAAGAAGGGGAGTTTGATATGGATTCTAATAAAAGTGATTCTGACACTATTGGGCTTGAAGTGACTCGCAATTCAAAGCAAGAAGCGCCTAAAGTAATGTGTCACCCGGGAACAGAACCTGATAATAAATATTATGAAGTTGAAGCAATCATAGCCGGCCCAAAAAAACGCAGGGAGCATCTCGTAAGCTTTGTGTTGTTTTTGTCGACTGTTTCACCGTCCGTATAAGGCCGTATTAGTGTTAACTTCAAATTTTCGTTTGACTTAAGTTGTCATTTTTGCGTTAGAAGTCATAATAAGATTGAATAATATAGACTAATCATTAGAAAGATTAATTAATTTTCATCGAATAAGTATGATGATCGAAAGCAAATGCAATAATTAACCAAGACCAAAGCTCTGTTCACACTACACTCACACTAGTGGAAATGTTATTTTACCACACTAGTGACTAGGTCCAATGTGATACGATAGTGAATGCACAATACGACATGCATTATTTACTAACTTATTAACTTGGACTTGGAAATGATTATGATTATGGCTTTGGAAATGATTATGGCTAGGCTAGACCTACCTTTATCAATTAATTTTAAAGGCATTTTGGCATGATTTGCTATTGACAAGTGAACTGTAATTGCAAATTTGCAAGGCCTTTACTATCCCTGTACTGGTTATCTATTCTAAATCTATATATTTTATACTATTACTACTATTAGAAAGCTGTAGTATAGATTCTAGTTCTAAAAAATGCTTCAAGTCTATAGTTCTATAAATGGGCAAGTATTTAGTATATGCTGCTGCTATATATTGGTAGTAAAATTACTACCAATAGCTTCTAGTGAGCTATTTGTAGTAAAGTAACTTCCTTTTAAAAAAACTACCAATCGGTAATAGATTTATGTAGTGCAGTATTTACTAAGTCTAAGTATTGGTAGTAACTATTTTAAAAAAAATTTATCACTGATATCACTCTTAAGTATGTATCGTGCCAAAAAAACGTGTGCTGACAAAATTTATTGTTTGCGTCTAGTCTCATAAATTCACTTGAATTTGATTTGAAAGTTTCTATTGGTAGTTTACTACCTATAGCTAGCTTCTAGTTAGGGCAGGGAGCTATTTGTAGTTAACTACCAATAGCTTCTTGGGAGCTTTTGATAGTCCAGCCAATCAAATAAAACAAAAATCTGAGCTTTAAATACCCGCTTCCAATGAGGCTGGCGAAGTATTGCCCTGTTCATATATTACTAGTTTGTACTAGTCACAACACCTCTGCATTAATTATAAAATCTACAGTACTGTTTAAAGGTTTTAACACTATCTGCTGTAGCCTTCCCCATGCTTAGATTCGGCTATATTGCTATATAATTTATAATATAGACCTAATATAGATCTTAGATAGATGTATGATACTGGGGGGAAGAGGATCATATCTGAAATTTTTTTACCCAGCTTCTCCTTTGCCAAGGCCAAAATGAGCATTAACTTATAAAGGCATCTATATTTGTATGTACAATCAAACAATTTCATTGGGTACATTGTGCAACTAAAACACAAATTAATTAATTTAATGTCTAGGACTCACTATTTACTATTTATTTTTTAATGCTATGCAGAATCAATGTTTTGAACTGCACATAATTTTGATGAAAACATAAGCAGTGATATATAAATAAAATAAACTATATTCAAAAAAAGAAAAACAAATGTATTATAAATTATGTCTTGAAAATCCGATTGTAGTAAATTTATGAGACTAGATGAAAACAATTAAAAAAATGTGGCACATGTTTTTTTTTTTGGGAAACGTAATACATACTTTAGAGCAATTTCAGTGTTGTAATCAAACATAAATTGTGACTACCAATAATTATTACACTACATCAATCTATCACCAATTGGTAGTTTTTTTTTATAGTAAACTACCAATAGCCGCTTAGAAGCTACTGGTAATGGAGTACCAATAGCTCTCTAGAAGCTATTGGTATTTTACTACAAATAGCTCCTTAGAAGCTATTGGTAGTATTAATTTTTTTTTCATATGCACACTTTGTATGCAGTAAAACTACTATTATGGTAATTATAGACATATTTATACCTATTTTTTAATTTATAATTTAATCATAATGATTTACACACAAAACTTTTACAGGTGGATTTTATTTTTACTGCACATATTACTTTGGCCATGGCAAAAAAGAAGTTGGATAACATTTTTCCAGACTATGATCCCCTTGCCCCCAGTATCACGCATCTATCTATATTTGGTCTACTTATAAATAATAATTATATAGCCTAATCTAACCATGAGTAAGGCTTCAGCAGACAGTGTTAAAACAGTACGAACTAGTAATAAATGAACGGGGCAATACTTCACCAGCGTCATTGAAAGCGGGTTTTTAAAGCTCCGAGTTTGGTTTTATTTGATTGGCTAGACTACCAATACCTCTGTAGAAGCTATTGATAGTGCTTTACTACCAATAGCTTCCTAGAAGTATTGGTAGTAAACTACCTATAGACACTTTCCAAGTATAACCCTTTTTCCTTTACGAAAGAGCAGCTCAACCATCAAAATATGTCTTTACTGACTAACTCAAATTTTATGAAATGTGACATATAAAAAAAAAATGACTTGGCCATACAAATGATTTCTAGGTAAGCTCCCTTATGATAATAAAGCCTCTAAATAAGTTTAAAATTATTGTTTTATTTTTTTAATGGAAAATTGTATAGAATAAGTATAAAGTAATAAAGCCTTAAGTAGAGCCTAATGCAATGGCAATAGTACTTATTATTTATTGATGCACATTTCAAATAATGGTAATGAACAGCTATGTTTGCTTCTGTGGCTTTGGTAAACCAAATACATGAGAAATTGGGAAAACTGTGTTTAGGGATTGCTTTTGTAAACTGAAAACATAAGGCTATGTACCGGAAGCAGCATTTATTGTGGACTGCAAACTTGACCAAGTTTTGAAATGGCAGAGAGAAGCAAATTCTGTTATACTTAATTTTCTTTTTCATGGTGTAACATAGTTTGTTTAGTAGTTCAGCACTGTAAAATTTTGCAAGTTGAAATTAAGGATGTTTAAATATATATAACCATGGTTATCGGTTTGAAATGATGATTTTTAGACTTTTTAAAGTAATTTTGTAAATTAAAGACTTGAAAAGTAATAAACATACAGTTTAATATATTACACAGATACTCGCTTCACATGTCTAACCTTACCAAATGTTTCCAAAATTAGATGACTGCCCCACGTTCATGGAATTAACTATATGTGGCCACAGGCGGGCCACAATATGTTTATTCCATGAACATGGAAAGCAAATGAACAAGATTTGAATGGCTGGTTGCTGTTGTTAGCAGTGAATAAAGATCACTACCATTTTCAATTTCGGGATGGTTAAAAGATTTTTTTGAAAATTTTTAATGGATAAGTTAATTTATTGAGATTTATCTGGATGAGAAGTAGGAAATGGTATTTAAAAAAACAATATGTTTTAAAAAAAAAAATATGTTTTTTTCCCAAAAGCTCTGAAACTTTATTGGTTATATTTACTGGTTATTGATACTGGAAGTCAGCCTACTTTATAGGTCTAAATAGTTATTGGACAGCAACTTTAAGCTTCAAATAAGATTGCATCAAACTATTCATCAGAATACAAATAGTTCACTGCTTGCACTGTTAATCAACATTGAGCAAGAATTAAGAAGACAGCTTTGTCTTTTAAAAATCAATATTGTCGAGGTAATAGTTGCTGCTCTCATGGATGCTGTCTTTATTACTTTCAGTTTAAACTTTGCTATAAAGTGAGATGGAAAGGCTATGGACCAGAAGCGGACACCTGGCAACCTTTGGCGGATTTGGCAAATGTTCAGGACATGATTGAGGATTTTAAGAAAGAAAAAGCTGATGAGGCACGTGAAAAAAGAAAGCAGGTAAAATTAGTGCTGTCACACAGAAATATATACACATTTGTATATATCAAGCTGTGTTTGGATGCTTCCCAAGTAGGTGCTGTGCTGGTATCAATCAAAAATGCATTTTTTATATTGTAACTTGCATTTTTTTTAAAAATGCCTCTCTGCAGTTTCTAAATAGTTGAGAATAGAAATGCACAAAGCTTTATTTGTGTGAACGTGCTGTAGCTTGATTTAATATCATGAAATATATGCTATTGTACACAATTGTTTTTCTTAATTACTTTTCTGTTTCACTACGCAATGTGTGATGACTAGCTTTAAGTAATAGTTTTATATTTGAGTGGGAATGATCATTTCATTCAATTTTTGAATGCACATTTAGAATTAGCACTAATACATGTTCTCATATTGCTATTGCAAGATTTGTTTTTGCTTTTGCACCTAGTACAAGGTGTCATAAGAATATGCATGAATTAACCTGACATGGTCATTAACGATGATAAAGCTATATAGGAATAACTGTAATAAGACTAAACATGAATGTACTTAGCATGGTAATTAGTGGTAATAAGATAAAACATGAATTTACTTAACATTGTCATATACTGTATGAGACAAATTTATGGACAAATGAAGATGATGACTAAATATGATAAATAGCTTGCTTGATTTTTTTCAACATGATGTATCATTCATTTCTTTCACATTTAACCAGAAACCACCTAAAGACACAGCTTCCAAACCAAGTAGCAGACTGGTTAGTAGCAAAGCTGAAACACCTGCTTCAGCAACCTCATCAGACATGGATGACGATGGTCAACAGTATGATCCAGAATATGGTACAGTCAAGGATAAATTCTGGAAAGATCTAGAATTAGGTCGCGTTGACCACTACTCTGACTTATTTTCTGGGGACATGTATTCCAAAATTAAAGGGTGTCAGCGGACAGCTCATGCGGAAGCCGTAGCTAACATACATAAACATCAGCAATTACACTGCAAAATTGCAGTTACGTCACCATCCCCATTCCCTAAGCTAGTAACATCTAAAGCTTTAACTTCCCCAAGACGTCGAAGGTATGCCTCGCCATCTTCACCAGCCTCTGTAAAATCAGCACCATCTTCTGTTAATGCTAAGCCACAGAGTCTTTCTCTTAGCGGCCGTGGTCGAAAGCGATCATGTGACCCGTTTAGTGCAAAGGGCTACAAGTCAAAACGCACTCGTAGGTCTAAAGAGTCCAAAACAAGGCATGCTTCAACCGAAGGTAAACGGTCAAGTGTAAGTTCTGTGACATCAGAAACAATGGGAATAGTGACTACAACAAACTCTGTGCTGACACCACCTGTGCTGGCCAGTGATAAGACAGTGATGCATTTTTCTACCGCTGGAATGAACACAAGTTCCTACTCTCCTAAAATTGTATTGCCGAAAAATTGTAAGTACACTGGAAATATATATATATTTTTTTATTTATTTAAACTTATGGCTCATTTGAGTATAATGGGCACCTCTTCAGAAAAGTATATAGTCTAATTATGATTAAATATTTTTATCAAAAGTTATAACTAGACTTTTCAGGAATTTTATTTCAGACTTACGTCAGATTTACGAGTTACATTATTATAAACATTTGAATACTTGAATAAAGGTAGATGCAAATTAATTTTTTGGTTATTGGGGTCCTTGTGTTGTTAAAGTTATGAATGCTGATTTAGCCACCAATAAACCCACCTGCTTCTTAAGGTCTTAATTAATGTTAAAGGCTGTAGGTATCTAAAGGTCTGTCTATTGTATGGTATTCGGTTGTATAATTCTCAAAACAAAAAAAACAAAGATTCATTGCCAAAGTTGTGTTCTAATCCAACTCACATAGCCACACACACACACCCCTTCCCAATCCAATATTCCTTCTTTTACAATAAAAAGCTTTTTGAATGCAGCATTAGAATTTAGAGGTTCTAGGCACATTAATTTTTGCAGTTAAATATTTAAACAAAGTTCTTCTTTTAAATTTGATACAAAGCTTCCCTATTTGCAGATTTAGTTTTGCACTGTGTAATGTTTTTTAGAAATGGTGTTTTTATTGCCAAGCAGCACTTCAAATTAAAAACAAAAATACGCCTGCGCAGTACATTTGGACTAACATTCTGGTCTTTGCTGTGTCGTTTTCCATATCATGTGTTTGCAGTCTGTACAACAACAAATTTAATACATTGCACAAATAAAGAAGGCAGTTAAATATAAACAATAAACTTGTTTTGAAAACTGTTATGTTTTCTATGTTTTTATTTCCAACAATAAACATTAACATAAATACATATAAATACAAGTTCTCAATAATGTTGACTTTCTGCTTGTGTCCAGAACACACTGTTCAATAGTACGCTCTCTCTGACTACAGTCTCTCTGCGCATGCGCGCTGTTTGCCCTAGTTGGCTATCAGGATGGTCCAGTCGGCTAATCCACTATAACAAAAACTAAAATTATATTTTAAATGTTTAAAATTAATCAGATTATATCAAGAATGAGAAAAATTCCATGCCCTCAGTCAGACATAGGAAAATACTACTTAATGGTTGTGGCCTAATTGTAACATGTTTAATGTGATATTCTTATTATTCACCGTTTATGAATTCACCATAATGATATCAAGATTTGAACGCTTTTTACAAAAGAAGCTGAAATATCCAACAATAAGTGCTTTAATGATGGTAAATGCTTTTTCTAAAATCAAAACAAAGACCTCAAACAATAAAATATTTTCTAAGATGACACAACCCGACCAGATTGTGCTTCAGATGATGATGATGAGATGAGTGATGTTTTCTCAAACTCTGAAGAAGGCAGTGGAAGAATGACTGTATCATCAGAAACTATGTTGACTGTCACAACAGAGACGAAACTGTTGAACATTGATCAACAACTTCTTTCTGATGAAGTCTTTAATTTGAAGACAGGTAAGGCTTATGTTGTTGAGGTGTCCTCATTGTCGGGGTAATGTTGGTTGCTTCTTTTGCTTTGTATGTACAAGTTGTTGTGATAATTATGTCCTCTTAAGGATAACTTTGAGAGGTAGAATGCTTTTCCCTCTTCATTTACAACCAATTAACATTTTTTATGTGTACAGGACTATGACTAAAGGTTACGTTCCATTCTGACGTAAATTATACAAAAATAATAATAATAATAAAGTTCATTTCAAAAACACCCTTCATCCCCAAAGGCTCGAAGCGCGGTACAAAGTAATTTAATTTACCACATTTAAAACAAACGTAACACTACAAAAACTAATTACAAGCTTACCAAGTCAAAATCTTTCTACCCATTTCAACCCTAAGCAACACAGCCAATATGCATTAAATGGAAGATATGGTAGACAATCATCCCAGAAGGTGTTTGCGAAATAGATTTGTCTTTAAATCGGTTTTAAAGGAAAATAGTTTCAATTTGCATCCATTTACATGGTTTACATGACTATAATAAAAAAAATAACATTTATAAATATATATTTAGCATAGTAGTAAAATAATACATTTTGGAGTTGTAACTGACATAACATGAAAAAGAACAATATTTGAGTTAGCATCTTTTTTGTTGGTTTCCTCAAAATCTGCTTTAATTGAAATATATGTTTTGAAATAATTATCTACAGTGTTTATTTTCTAAGTAAAACAATTAAAAAAACAACTACTTAGAAAGCACATTTTAAAAAAATACAAAGTAATGTAATTGACATGGTATGATTTTGTAACAGACATATGGAGTCTGAAGGCAAGCAATTAAAAAAAAATTGAACAATAATGTCAATTCTTTTACAGAATTACAAATACTTAACTGTATCAGTTATAATGTACTAAAATAAAGATTTGCCCATCATGTGACATTGACCATGAAAATTGTCTGTTGATATTTATTAAATGTAAACAAAATAAAATTCAACAAAATGTCTATTAAAATAAACTGACATCATGTACTTAATTCAAGATGGCCACCTGGTCATGTGTCACAGAAAACAAACATACTAAAAATGACCCCATACCAAGATACATGAAATAAATGTATATAGCACCAAATTGTATGCAATGTTTTGGGATGTTTTGTATACTTTTACATGGAAATTACCAAAATCAAAGTAATTTTTTTGTTCTCTGCCTTGGGGGTTTAATTACATTGAAATACATTATTAAATAAGTGAATTTCATCTCACAAATTTTTCAACTCACCTGCATATATGTGCTATCATTACCATAACGATGGTCATATTGTTGCTTTGTGTTTTCTTTATGAACTCGCTAGACACGGTAACAGTAATATCAGCATAGTTGCCCTATTGACAATTTTAGTCAATCATTGCTTTTATTTGCTTCAGTGCTGTATTGTATAATTTTGTGATATAATTATTATTTCCTTTAGCTAAACCAGTATAAAAACGGAGAAAACAAGTTGTTTAAAAATGAGAATGCATTCTCAACTGTTCCACATAGCAACATTAGATTTGGACATACTTAATAGGATCTGAGAAGGCCTTAGAAATCTATTTTTAAAACGCACAAAACAGCTGTAAGATTTTTAAAGCCCCTGTTTGGTCCTTACCCCCATTTCTGTCTGTGTTAGTTATCACACTATAAATTATAATAATATGTTAACAGGAAATAGCTTTAATTGATGTTGATTCTTCTAAGTTATGTGGTAGGTTTTGTAAATGATGTCATCATTTGTTGATTCTTATTTCAATAAATTTGATTTTTATTTGGAACTGGCTTTTAGTTTGAACCAAGTTAAATAACACCAGTAACTTTATTTTTACCAGTGACAGACTGATAATATGATCGGCCCATCCACCCAAATATTAATTGATATCTATTGCAGATACACGTCTGCAAAACAAAGTGACTCAGATTGCAATATAAACATCAGTCATCTACTTTTGGAAGTTACCTTTTTTTTTTACGTCAGCTTAGCTCAATCCCACTAGATATGCAGTGCGAGTAGTTATTAAGATTTTGAGATGATACTGTACAATTTTAGGAGTACCCATACAGCAGCATTATATTTTGACAAATTTTAAAAGTGCTAGTAAGCAGTATTTGAAATCTATATTTAGAAGTCTTAAGCAGCTGTACATTGTTAATACAGCAGTTTTGTTCCATCACTTCTCTTCCCTTCTCCCAATTCAGCTTGCGGTCATTATTAGACAATATGTTAAAGTAAAATACAATCAGCAGGGATGGGCAATCCACCGCCCGCCATGTTAAATTTTGAGGCCCACGGATGAAGCACAAACTTATTTCTTCATTCCATTAGCGATTATTTTCATTTTTGGCATAAATGTACATATGAAATATATATATACATAATTTTTTGTGAGGGACATGCCATTTTGGTGTACCCTCCCTATTCAGACTGATTTTTTAAAATATATTGAAATAAGTAATAAATATAAAAGAATTTTACTATTTAGTAACTACTAAAATAAAACAGATTTAAATAAACACAGCTATGATTAAGTGGAGAATGATACAAAATTATATTCAGGTCTACGCAAAATACATCCATTATTTTGAATTTATTAAAAAAATGTCAGGGAAGATCTTGGCTATGGTGGGTTCTGCGGATGTCCTCAATTTCCGCACCCCCATCTTCGTCTATCTAAGTGACAAAAGACAGGAACCTTTTTTTGTTGCAATAATGCACTGTATGTACATTATAATTTAATAAACTTAAGTCATTTACTTTGAGAAGTGACCTTTATTAGACATGCTATGGAAATAGTTATTATGTGGATTATACTGTATGTTTATTTACTATTACAATAAGGTATTGTATGATTTTCATATGATAAAGTACTATTCTGAGTCTATGTTGTAATGTTTTTAGGAGATCCATTGTAACCAGGTGTGCTATTAGTTTCATGATACTGTTCGTACAAGTTGTAGGTGATTGCTATTTAAATTTAGTTTCATGGTACCATTTTAAAAAAAAAAATTTTTAGGAAGTTTTAAAAACACATTTTTTTTTTGAAGTTTTAAAAATTTGCCATTGAATTTCCTTTCCTTCCTGTCTCTGTGGTTACTTTTTATCAGATATCTTAAGCCTATCACAATTTAGCAGATGCATTTTGTTTTTTCCAGGTGTTAATGGAGGGGCCAGTGGTAGTGATACAATGTCAGAGACAGCTTTTGAAGCAGGTGGGGCAACATCTAGTGGGAATATGCCAGGTTCCTCCATTAACTTGGAGCAGAGCCCCAGGCGGTCAACATTAGACACCCAGTCTGAGGCTAGCGGTGCCGTTGAACGTAATCATGATGAAGAGTGCTTATGGGGCGGGGCATGTAATCGGTCAGACTGTAGAGCCAATCGAAGAAGAAATATGAAAAACGGCAAGGACCAAAGAAAAGAAGAACAGGGTCACCATGATAAGGAAGACCCTGAGGAATATCCAGAGAGTCCGACGGGTCATTCTGGAGAAACTGCACATGCAGAGAACCAGAGTGGCGACACTTGTAACAGCCCAGAGGATAAGGGAGGCTCAAGATTAGACAAGAGCTGCTTAAGTCCTGCTAAAAAAGAAGATGCCAAGTCCCCACACTCAAGAAGTCCAGTGGTCAAGCATAGCACTTCTGCAATGGCGCCAACGTCTTCTGGGTCTAAAGTTAGCATCAGCAGCCGAGGGTTGGCCTCAAGGTTTCAGCCCACTGGTTCCAGTTCTCTCAACTCTTCACCTTTACCAGTTAAAAAATCTACCTGTCCACCTTCGCAAACATACAGTTCAGACTCTAGTTTTGAAGAGTCTCTTACACTGGCTGGCAACTCACCACTGAGCAGAGAAGCTGTGAAAAACTCTTTTGGTCGCATGGATGCCCTAGCCCATCGCATGCACATGGACACATTAGCAAGCTCCTCTGGCAGAACATCGACTGCTGCAACCGCAGCGCACGAGGTGAACACAACGATGACCAGTTATGGGGGTAGAAAGAACGTTGACATTGCAGAGAGACCAGGCTTATTTAGTGATAGTAACAGCGCTTTCCACTTCGCCAGACAAGACTCAGGGTTTTCAGGTGGGTCTTCCACCCCAGGTGATCATCACATTCAGTTTCCACTGGCTTCCCCTTCAGGCAGCATTAATCTCAGTTCTCCAGGGAAAGAGAACTTTGGTAGCGCCACCTCTGATGCCACAGTCTCCCTGTCTAGTACTCGGGATAGATTGCATCACATGGAGGTAGACCTACCCGACGCCCGTCATGAAACAACGACAGCCGCTACCGTTCAGTCCACGCACAGTCAGTCCAGGGCATTTGGTGAGGCACAAGAAACTTGGTCCAGAAAAAGGGCCAGTGATGTTCCCCAACCTTTAGAGAAAATACCATCTCCGAACTCCAGGAGGGGTGAGTGACACATTGGTATAAACATTTGTTTATGTTTTATCAAATTTTTCTTTCAAAACAGACAAAATGAGATGTGAAGGAATGAATTGTGATAAAGAGGCTCATTAAAATCTTAAACAGTCAATGGCCTTACTAATTTTTAACCTCTGTAGTCAATTTCATTGTAAGGATTAACACAATTCATTAAGTAATTATAATTATAGCTATATGTGTTGTTGCCACATTTCAACTTACTTTTATTCACCATTCTTTATCTCTGAAATCATTGTCATTCTTATCTCTATTTTTTTTTTTTACAGCTAAGTCTCATTTAAAACATTTGTTTTATTACTTTAAAAAAAAAACAACTATTATGTTCTGTCTTATATAATAATTTATGAGTTGTTTTTTTTTTTTAGATTCAGATTTTGACAGGAGAATCGGGACACTAACATTTTTTTTTTTTTTTTTAATGGTAAGTCTAATTTAAAACATTTTTTTTATTATTTTAAAAAAAAAACAATTATTATGTTCTGTCTTATATAATAATTTATGAGTTGTTTTTTTTTTTTAGATTCAGATCTTGACAGGAGAATCGGGACACTAACCTGTGATGAACTAGATGACTTTGTAGAACAGGTGATTTTGTAAAATAGTATTTATAGCTAGAAAAAGAATATCAGAATGACTTTGAATAGTTTTCTTAAAAAAACTTTTCTTTTTCTGTCTAACTCCCCCCTCAAACATATTTATTTCTTCGTTGCTCATTGTGTTGCCATGAAAATATCTTTGACTTAATGCCACATAATTTACTGTTTTCTTAAAAGCTTTATTTGAAGGATTAAAAGTTCTGGATACGATTCTTTTAGATGGTTCATGCTTTAGATAAAATTTAAAAATGATATTTTATTGGTTGCAGGGAGATGAAAGACTGGGTTCTAAAGATGTGGGGTTTGTTACGAATGGTAAGTCAATGAAAAAAATTGAGTGATTGCTTCATTCTATCTGAGATATTTCAATACTCTAATGAAAAGAAGGCATAGATTAAATCTTTTTATATTTCTCTGTCATTTAAAATGGCTAATATGAAGAACAAAATGGATTTTTTTTTACATAATTCTCAAACTTTTAGGTAAATCCTTGGTTGCATGTGTTTTTTGTAACCATAAAATGATGTTAACATAATATGTGCTGATGGTACAGAATTAATTAAATATTTAAAAACTTTGTCTTTCTAGCTGACCTTTTACAAGCCGTGAATTTAAGCAAAGCTGAAGTAGTGAAACGAGCTGTGAGACAGTCCGGCTCCACTGATCGCAGGCTTGACTTTGAACAGCCAGACAATACTGGTCTAACCTTGCTGATGAGGGCTGTTCAGAAAGGTACTGAGAGCTTGTGCCCAAAAAACATTCAAAATATTGTTTTTGTTTTTATTTGTTACGTCTTTTTCTGAGAAAGGTGTAATTTTAAGCTTTTCAGGGGCAGAATAGCTACATGTAAAGATATGAAAATAAATGTGAAATTAAAATTGCCTCTGTTCAGATTATTCCTCAGTATATGTGACAATTTTTTGGGGATTTCCATAGGCACAGTTGCTATAGTGGAGATGTTGCTCGAATATGGGGTTAATGTTAATGCTCAGCAGACAAATGGCACAACAGCATTGATGATGGCAGCAGAGCAGGTAAAATAATGTGTCCTAATTTCTTATGATGTTTTTCATTTGTAATAATGATTCAAATTATTATTTGTTTCCTTTTAAAAAAAATTGACTGGTAAGCTTGTAAAGAATATTCATTACATTTTAAATTATTCCCTTTTTTTAATTAGGTATATCATTATATACATTTTTTAAAAAATTTTGTGTGTGCAGAATGGTGTTTGTCTTCTTGCTTTACTGCTGAAACATGGCGCAAACAGCAGTCTCTTCACCGTACATTCAGATCAAGCTGAGACAGCATTAATGAAGGTAATTTCAACAATATTATTGCATGCATGCCTAGTATATTTTTTAATTTGCATTTAGCCTTTAAATAGAATCATTCTATGTGTTCTGCTAAAAGGGACCTTAATAATGGATTCTAGTGAAGTCTTGGAGTGTCTCTATTGTACATTACAGGCCATCAAGCGTCAACATCGGGAAGTGGTGAATCTAATGTTGCGTGTTGGTGTAAACATTGCAGCACCTACATGTACCAGCATATCAGCGCTGGAGCTGGCAATAGAACGGAGGAATCCACAAATTGAGGGTATTGTTAGATCTCATTACCAAAGGTAAGATTGAGATTACTGTTTTTAAGTATATTTTCAAGCATCTGGTGTGAACAGCTCTTTAATTATTTTTATGCTTCTTTCTGGTAAAAATAATCACTCTTGTGAATATCTTCCACTTATTTTGTAATTGAATGGCATCTGCAAGTATTTTTTGATATTATAAACCTAACAAATCATAGTGTCCTGCTACAATCACTTTTTTTATAACATTACTTTATTGATTTTGACACAATTTGTGTGTTCAGGTTAGAGCAAGCCTTCCGTGGTAGAGTGTTGGCCACATTGGAAGAAACGGCAGAGCTGATGGATCCTTTATTCCCCCTGCAATGTTTTCCTTTAAGGGAATCACAGGAATTTGTTGTTAAGTTTAACAGCAATATCCATCCGGTGGCTCAAGGTAATGCTGGCTGTTTTTTTTTCAAATAGATTGAAATGAGCAATCCCTGAATTAAATTGATTGATTGGTATGTCGAAGGCATCATGGCTAGACATTGTGAAAATGGGTGTGAAATATTCTGATGTGTTCCAAAACCTTAAATGCGCCTAGCTAAAAGAAAAAAGCTTACTTTCACCTTTCTCAATTCCTTTAATTTTCTCATAATAAGTTAATCACCTTACTTTGTTTACTTTTTTTTTATTACCAATAGCAGATTTTTATAAATAATTCCATATACAAATGACATTAAAATAGTTTTTTTTAAATTAACAACAACAAAAAATGATGTTAAATTTACTGTATATTTATTTCAGTGTGCTGTATAAGCACAATAAAAGATATAGATGAGTCATGCATTGAAAAAAAAAATAGTTTAAATTTAACTGATCAAAATTTAATTCATGTTTAAAAAATCAAGCACTTTTAAATAAAACTTAAAACCTTGATGTACTCATTGGAATAAAAAGTGTATCTTTGGAGTATTAAAAGCGTATTGAAACACTTTGCATGTTTCATAATTTAAATGATCACTGTGACCTGTTCCATGATTTACAATTTTTAAACTTGTTCTTTGTCATTTAAAATCATTCACCTTGCACTCAGTGCCATTTAGAGTGTCATGAAATTTTTACTGTTTTTTAAAATCCTCTTGAAAAGAATAGAACTGACTTAACATGTTTAATCTGAATATTTCAAATTCACTGTCTGTAATTATTGTCTGTAATTTTATTGTCACTTACAGGAGAGGGATTTCTTCTGTTTATTGCCCATACAAAAATCAATGACAAAGGCGTGCGATGTCGATTCCATGGGGGCTGTCCTATTAGGTCTGTGACATTAAATGGAGTGGTACAGTCTCCCTTAACAAAGGTAAGATTTCACACAGTGATACTTTTCACTCATTAAAAAAACATAAAATTTTATGTTTCTTTGTTGTGTACGTGAGCTTTAAAGTTAAATTTTTGTAACCACTCATTTTATATCAATCTATGTTAAGGGAATTGAATGTCTTTCTCATTTTAATGGCATATAAATTATTTTTTTTTTGTTGTGAGTTCCATGTTTTTGTTTTTTTTAATTAAAAAAAAAAATATCTATAGATCTAAATTTTTAAAAAAACATCTTAAAAATTACATGATTGAACAATTTTGAATATGTTCACACAAAAAAATTTTCCGTTAAGGGCAACCACAATTATTTAAATTGTTTTTAAAAAAAACATATAATTACACTTTTTACCTGTAGTGCAAGTTTGATTTCTTACTTGAATTATTTAGGAGGTGAACTTTGTGACCTCTTGCCATCCCATAATCCCGGGCTGCAACACATTGGCCATCCACAAACTTGAGGACTACACTTCTAAAGTAAGTCAATTTATGAAGTATGGTAGAGTTAGGAACTAAAGGGTGTCATAATATACAAGGACTGAGGAGAAATGTGTTAACTCTTGACAAAAAAACAACTGTGTTTACCATTTTAGTGATGGGGCCATGAAACTTTTTTGCAGAAATTAATTTATTAGACCTTTTTATAATGATTCGCTAGAGCTACTGAACCAGCATCAAAAGTGTTAGGCTCAATGCTGTATGAGCGTCACTTCATGTGGTTGTCAAGGGTTTAATTTCATCACTTGTGTTGTATAAAATAACTGGTGTCTCGTGGGATGAGGGGGGGGGGCTGGTGGAAGGAGATAATTAGGCAAGTTTACCAGGTTTTAAACTAAAGATATTCACATATACCTAGCATAGTAGCGGATAGGGGAGAAATGGAGACCCTGACAGCTCACCCTAAAATGGAAAAAATACAATTGTAAATCAATATGTCTACTCCAGAACATACATCATCATTTATTAATTGTCGAATTTTATACAGTGTTTTTTATTTTGTGTATTCCCAGGCCAAGTTAGTAGTGCAAGCTTTCCGAGCCAAACTTTTGCCGTGCTGAAAACTACGGCCACTGATGGCAGCCAAAGTGTTGCACACATGTCCCAAGCAGATGCCTTGAAGTGAAATACATTTCTTAAAGAATTTCTTTTTATGTGTTAATGTCCATTCTTTATGGCAGTAAAGCAAACTCAGTTATTTTGAAATTTATTTTAAAATGTCTTTTGTTTTTTTCATATTTTTTATTGCTGTTTTCTAATTACAAATTGTGCAAAGGATCACCGTACAGAAATTGAATGCAGTCATGGCTGCCTCGGTATATCTTTCTTAACAATCTTTCTACATTTTTTTGGAAGTCTCAGTGATACATAACAAATCCCTAACCATATAATCCATCTGAAAACTTAAAAATAACATTTCAATTCTGTATTGAACCTAAAGAGTAAAAAAAAATTTTTAATGAATATCTTTATTGTGAAAAGACATACTAGGGCAGTGACCAGCATGAGTAATATGAATGTAATATGAATAAATGTAAAGTAGAATATTTAAGGATTGAATTTACAAACGCTCAATAAGTGTGTTTTATTTTTTAAATAAAAGATAATTTATTATTTATTTATACACATGATATACACCTTGTTTTTTCTTGTTGGTTTCACGGTTTCATTTTTTCAAACTGGTGACTGTTTATTGATGTTCCAGTTCAATGTTGGATTTTTGTGTAGTTAAAGATGTTTTATTTTTTTCTTTCTCCTTGTAAATTTAAAATGATGATGAAATGTTTGTCTTCTACTGAACTTAATTGAATAATTAATTTGCTTGAACTTGAAAAAAAAAAATCAAACGCTTTAAGAGTCCCTAATTTGGGACTCACTTTGAGTTTTTAAACAATTTTCAGGTTATCATTGAGTTAAATAGCCTATATATATATTCAGTTAAAATGGCTTTGTGGCAGTTGCTTCACCTTGTATGGCTCCAACATGATTTGCTCTTTAGTAGTGGGTTGTGTTTTCTGTTTTTACTTCAGCTATCAGTTGCCCGTATTTATCAAGGCCGGGTCTCACAAGTCTGCAGTTTCTTTATTTAATTAGCCCCAAGGACATACAATGCATGAGAAATGGCAGAGTTCATAGTTTTCACTTAGTGTTGTACATATTTTTATTATTTATTTTTTTTTTTGGGGTAAATCAGTGGCAAACCACCCTGACACCATTTCCCTGACCGTTTGTGGTTTACGGACAACAGGTGGAATAAAAAAAAAAATAGACATTAATTTTGATGTTCCATCTATTTAACCAACACCCTCTCCTGAAAAGCCCTTTTCCGTGCATTTTAATGTATTATCATAATTGTCGTGCTGGTGCCAACTTTTAGAATATTTCTCAGATTTTTGTCTGATTCATGTCTTATTTTTAAAGTTGATTCCATTATCACATTTTAATGGGTTGACTAGTTATGTGGGTTTTATGCTGTTATTTTGCCAATAACGACCCAAAGAGTCATAAAAAATATTTTAATTGTAAGGAGCTTCATGAAAAAATTGAGATTGCCGACAAGGGACACTGTAATGAGTATATTGAGAGTGCCTACGAGGGACACTATAATGAGTATATTGAGATTGCCTACGAGGGACACTATAATGAGTAGGAAATGGGGAAACTATTTTCACTCAGTGAGCTCGGTCCACAAAATTGGAATGTTCTATTTGATTTTGAGACATTTGCATCAAGTCAGTTTTAAATCTAGGCAGTAGCCATGTAGATATGTTTTGATCATAAATTACCTTGATCATTTGACTCGTTTAAACAACTTCTCTAAACAACCAGCCTGGTAATCAGTGTCAACTGTAGATTCTTGTTGGCCACGAGCCTCATCTTACATTCTTGCTGGCCACAAGTCTTAGAATCTTGGTGGACTCAAGTTTTAGATTCTTGATGGCCACAACTCTTAGATTCTTGCTGGCCAAAGTCATTTAATTAGAAGAGCCAACGTTTCGTTATTCTTTTTTAGTGCAGCTATTTACTTTCTATATTTCTATTTATTTTTGTCCAGTCCATATTTGGTTGAAATGTCTGACAGATTCATAAAATGTCAATGACTTGTGATTCCATTATGTATGCTAGAGGATGTAGCAAATTGTTCCATGTGATACAAGAGTCTGTTTTTTTTATGATGAATTGACTAATCTGTGTTTCCGCTGCTGATGTGATTCTTTTAGAACATTTCTTCCTAACTGATGTGTTTCTGCATTTGGCTGAGATGTGGGCAGTTCATTGTTCTGCTTGAGAACCAAGACATTTCAGTGAGCTGATGTGTTGTCACACAAGAATTGGGAAGCACTGTTGTAGATAATAGTTCTGTCTTCTTGCTGGGCACACAACATGAGCTGATGTGCTATCACACAAGAGTTGGGAAGCACTGTTGTAAAAGATAGTTCTGTCTTGCTGGGCACACAACATGAGCTGATGTACTATCACACAAGAGTTGGGAAGCACTGTTGTAAAAGATAGTTCTGTCTTGCTGGGCACACAACATGAGCTGATGTGCTATCACACAAGAGTTGGGAAGCACTGATGTAAAAGATAGTTCTATCTGCTGGGCACACAACATGAAATGAAATAACCATATTAATCTGCGAGTATATTTTTATTAGGTGCTCTGATTTTCTTTATAGTTGAAAATTGAATGTATATGTATATATGGCTGTCTAAATATATATCTTATGTAAATTTTATTACAAGCCAGTTTTAATGTAAAGCTTTTAGTAAAACCATGCATGTTTGATATGAATGAACATAATTTTGCTATCGTATATCTTCACCATAATAATGTGGATACCATGTTATTAATTATTGTTCAGTGAGAGAAGGGTTTCAAAAAAATTTAAACAAAGGGGAGATGTCATTAGATTTACAGACAGGCTCAAAATTACTCCTTTTGGCACAAGTGAACAATTTTATCACATATCGAGTATTTTATTATCGTATTAATAAGTATATTCAGTAGTATCTACTTCTAATTTTCTTTTCTGCTTTTAAATAAAAGCAATTCAAAAAGTCACTTGAGAGAGTTCCCTACTGTATGGCCTGAACTCTAAGGGCTGCATTAATGTGAAATGTATCTTTGTGCTGGGAAACAGTGATTCAATTCTATATATTGCATCAAAAAACAATAATTAGAAGATAAAAGATTCCTTGCAGTTAGAGATAAGATACAGCGGAGATGTATTAATAATATCTCATGTATGTTGTTGTCAGCCCTGTGATATTGTGATAAACTTAACTGTGTTGCATGAGAGCCCTGTCGCTGTCTGGACTGCACTTGACAGTTACAGCTGGCATTATTTGATCATTGAAGTAGTTACCAAGATTACCATTGATTGGTGTGCAGTGCTAGCCACATCTAATTAATCCTAGTGCACATTGTTTTAGAGGCTGTTGCTGGATTCCCAAGAAAACAAGTTTTGTGTGGCAATAAATGTTGGAAGTTATTGTTGAATTCACTAGAAACAAGTTTTTGTATACCGGTAATTAGTTAAGTGTTGGAAGTTATTGTTGAATTCACTAGAAAACAAGTTTTTGTATATCAGTAATTAGTTGCATGTTGGAATTTATTGTTGAATTCACTACAAAACAAGTTTTTGTGTAATTAGTGAAGTGTTGAAAGTTATTGTTGAATTCACTACAAAACAAGTTTTTGTGTAATTAGTGAAGTGTTGGAAGTTATTGCTGAATTCCCTAGAAAACAAGTTTTTTTATGTGGCAGTAAGTGTTGGAAGTTTTGTTGAATTCACTAGAAATAGAAACAAGCTTTTTAGTGTGGCTTAATTTTTTTCAATTAAGTATACAACACCATCACTTCCCTCCCCCCCCCTCCCCGCTACTTTTCTTTGTAAATCATCCTATTGTTTTGCCTACAGTTGGTTTTTCTATATATGTTGTGCAATGCTTTAACTTTAAGGAATTTGGTAAATAAAATAAACATTTTATAATCCTTGATCACCACCAGCAATAGGACCACAACTGGGTAGATCAAAACTGGTTGTACCATCTTGTAAGTTGATAGAAACAGAACTGTGGTCTTGTGTGCTGTCTCACCACAGGTTTGCAAGCATATCGTTGTTACACATTTCTTAATAATTGGAAACACAGTTTACCGAATGGAATATTAAATCAAAGGAAATCCTCATTGATCATATCTCAACATGTCTTTTAAAGTTGAAAACATAATAATGGATACTATAATTTGCAAGAGAACAAATTAAAAGTAAATGGTTTAACAATACCCAGTACCAGATGGAAGTTTTCAGGGATCTGGGCTTCACAGAACAGAGGGCTACAACTTATTTTCCTTCATTCAGTTACCCAGCATATTAAGAATAGATTTCTGAGAACATGTGAAGTTTTGTTTAGGCTGCATGCCTAGAACATTTGAAATGCATAGTTTTTTTTTTAAAATCTTGCTATTATTTAAATAATGAGCTAAACATTGAGGACACTATCAAGAATGCAATTTTTAATTTTTGCTTTAACATTAACAAAGTAACAAAAATATTGAATATAATTTAGCAAGCTTGATAAATGTGATCCTTTTGTGTGTCTGTCCCCCCAAGTGTCAACAATATTAAATTACAAATTAATTTATCTTACGCAAACTTATTTTTTAAAAATACAGTTAGGTTTTTTTAAAATGATTTCTGGTTAATGTTTTATTGTTAATGAAGAAACAATTGTTTTACATTGAGGCAGTGTACATGTAATTATTAAATTTTCCTGACTTAATTTCTAAGGAAACCTTAAAGCATTGTTTCCCAACCTTTTTGGTGCCAAGCCCCACCTAAACCTTTCTAAAATTTGGATGCCCCCCCTATGTAGTGTACATATAATATTTTAATACTTGTATTCAACATTTACATTGTTTCCAACACTTCGAAAGCTTATTTTAAATTGAGACTCTAACGATTCTCCTTTTAGACCTTATTTTACAAATTTCCTCTCTTAACAATCAAATTACCCCCCTGTAGGCCCCATGTTAGGAAAAACTGCCTTAAAGAGAAAGAATGAAAAAAATAAAAATCATTAGGTTTATTTAGGTATAATTATAATGGTGATTTTTGTTAAACAGTGGCACTGAGAGTGAGAGAGTTTGAAAAATAAGAAAATACAAATCAGTTATATATAGGCATGATGTGTTTGACACTTAAAAATCTTACAAGTACAAAATAGTCATGAGGTATTGTCCAGAATCTTACTAGTGTAGAACATAAAAATGAGGTACAAACTGGCAAGGGAAGAGATTAAAAAAAAAAAAAAAAAAAAATGTTCTTTTTTAACTGCATTGGATGAATTTTATTAGTAGAAAAAAAAAAAGAGGTAAAAACTGGCAAGGGAAAAGATTAAAAAAAAAAAAAAAAAAAATGTTCTTTTTGAACTGCATTGGAAGAATTTTATTACAGTTAGTATTATGATAGGAAAGACTTTGTCAACATTGTTCTGTTTGTTGTTACAACATGTGAAATGTGGCCTTTGCTTTTGTTTTTATTGAAAGGTCAGGCGTGTCCTTTTTTTATAACTTTATTTTGTCATTTTAGCCACCTACAGTATTATCCTTTTTCTTGACCTTATTTTCCTACAAAGACTAAACTTTGAGAGCAGCTGTTTTACTAATGCCATCTCTTGGAAAGATGTCATTCTGAAAATTGCAGCATTAACATTTATGTATACATACACACATAACAAGCCATCATCCAGGGGTCTCCCTTGACATGGGGGAAACAAGCCCCCCCCCTCCTCAAAAAATGGACAAAATTGACATTTGGCCAGAGGTTCCCAAGGTGCTTATGCCTAATTCTAGCAAGCACACTGGGAAATCTGGAATAATCTTTGATTAAAGAGTTAAGAAATTTTAAATTGAAAAATTCCTTTTTATTTCATCTAGTAACCATTTGCAGTGACTTCTAATCACTTAATGAGTAAACTGGTTTGCACCAGGTCTGCCACACATGGTGTCCTATCACAGGACTTCTTAAGGGAAATTTTCACCCCACTGCCATCCCATTTTGATAAAATGGTGCACAAATCATTTTCACATCTCATTAGTTAAAATGTAAATTCATATATTTGATCACCTCATAGTTAAGAGCATAATTATCTTTGCCAATACAGCAGTAAATTACAATGATTCAGCAGCTTTGTTTTCAAAATGTTTTTTTTTTAAAAATATCCACTTCCACCCATAAAGTGTTATACAAATTAATTAGGAGAACTCTTTATATGTTTACAGTTTTGAGACACACACAAAGACCCATAAATAATTATGAATTTGGTTTTAAGTTGAGTTTTTATGGTGTGATCAGGCTAGGAACAAGTGGATGAAAAGTTGCACTGTAAGCCAGAATAAAGCTAAACACACCCCCTCCCCCCCACCACCACTCAGAGTGTGTAGCCCATTCGATTCGCACAGCCCTGGATCAGGCTGAATGTTAGAAAGTGCCATATTACTTTGTATAAATTGAATTAGAACAATCTATTACTAGTAATATCTTTTGGAGCAGTATATTCTTTGTTGTAAAGCTGAAATTCTTAACATGACTTGCATGTAACGTTTCTGCTGTAAATTTGAATTTAAGAACCACTGATGAATCGAAGAAATTATTTGAAAAATTATTAAATATACATTGCTTCTGTTCAATTTCACTGTTATTGATGTATTTAATACAGGATATGTTAGTTTATCTGGTGTTTCACATATTCATGTATTCTGTTATAATTGATCATACAAAGCTGACTGTTTAAATACATAATTTAGAATATTTCAGCATTTAGCTGATTAATGAGAAGTTTCTTTTTATAAGTAATTACTTTTATCATAATTTAATAGGGCATTGGAATGTTTGATTAAAATGTTTTGTTTCTTTTTCTATTTAAATTTGTAGCCATTTATATTTTGTGCACCTTTCCCCCAATTTCCTAACTACTTCATTGTTGCTTATTCACCATATCTAACAAACGGTGAAATCCTGTCGTAGAAATGCCCTATCAAATTGCACTACAATGTGGGGGCATTTCAAACAAGTAGATTTTTTCATTTGACATTTTTTAAACTATGATTCTGTTATATGACCTTGGCGTAGGACGTGCTGTTATTGTGTTAAACAAAGTAAACTATTTAAGCAGCTAAATTATATGGGATGTAACATTTGCAGCACCTTTGTGTACAGGTATCTAGGTTACTAAGATTTGTGAGCCACAAATTTATGAAAAACTATGATTGTTCCTTTGTTTCGTTAATATTAACATTATTAAATGTACCTTTCACTTTTCTCAAATTTGGGTTAAGATTTCAAATGAGACCTTTTAATATGCGAATTTTCTGATTCTTTTATTAACTATTTGGACTCTACAAAAATAATAAATTGTAATAGTTTATTATTTGATGTTAGAAACAATTTTAGCAAATATTAACTTCTCAACATATTTTCCCCTTACTCATCTGAAATTAATGTTTTTGGTATCAAGAATAAAATTTGTGTTAACAACTTTGAACTGTATTAGTGATTTGGAAAGACAGTGAATTGAAATTAATAAAGGTAACTTCAGAAATATCCCCAAGAGATCAGCATTCATAAAAAATCAGGGTTGCAACCGCACTATTAGATATTAGAAACATATAAAATCAAAAGCAACATGTTTATTTTTTTTAATATTAAAAAAAAAAAATCAAATACTTTTAAGAGCCAATAAAAGTTTTATTCTCATTAACAGTTAATTCATTTTGCATGAACATTTCAAGTCAACAATAACGACTAACATGAAGTCATGCTCTGAAAAATGTGAAGTGAACATTTTAATTATATGTTGGTGACTGACACATCTGCATTAGTACCGTAAAAAAGATTTCAACCTCTCCACAGTAATCTAACAATTTTTCTAAAATATGAGTAATTCTCCATGCTCCTCGGCTTACTGTGGCAGGAAAGAGACATTTATATAAAAACAGAAGTGGAACTTATAAGATGCCTTCTTTCTTGAGAAGTGTGTACATTTTTTTGTTGATGATGTTCCCCTGTGAATCCTCATACTCTTCCTGAAATGGGGGAAAAAAGTTTGAAGAGATTGTGTTCTTAAAAAAAAAGGTTGAAGAGATTGTGTTCTTAAAAAAAATGGTTGAAGAGATTGTGTTCTTATAAAAAAGGTTGAAGAGATTGTGTTCTTAAAAAAATGGTTGAAGAGATTGTATTCTTAAAAAAAAAAGGTTGAAGAGATTGTGTTCTTAAAAAAATGGTTGGAAGATATTGTGTTCTTTAAAAAAAGGGGAAGAGGAGGGGTGTTGTTATAAAGTAGCCATTAATTTCTTGAAGGAAGCTGATCAAAATCCATTCAGGTTGTTGATTTTTTTTAAAAGAAATTTTATGCAGCTGTCATTAAGATTACATGAGCTTCTGCATGTATAAAGTAAATAGGATAGGATTTTTAAAGCATCCTGTAATTTGACAAATTTTTACCTCTGTGTCTGCCTTCCATCTTTCTGCTTCCTTTCCAGACTTGATCCTGGTCCACACTTAAACACAAACATTTAACCTAGTTATTATTTATTCATCATTAAAAAGCATAATTTACAGGATTAATTTAAAAAACAACAACAAAAAAACAGGTCAATATATTTTTAACTCAATAAAATAAAGACATCAGTTAAAAACCACCAGCCTGTACTGGCCTGTACTGTTGTCACGATTGATTACTTACATGCTAAAGCATCCTCAATAGAAGTCACATTTGCAAAGTGAGCAGTATTGGGAATACCCAGACACCTCATACCTAATGCATGCCTAGATTCCTGGGAAATGAAATAGAGATATCCAAGTTCTGAATGGCTAACATCAGATTATTTATTTTATCACATTAAAATTTTAACTCTGTACTTTACCTTAATCATGGATTTGATCAAGCAAAACAAAATTTAACCTCATGCAACAATTAAATATGTCATGAAAAAGTTAGCTGCATATGTAAATAAACAAACCAAACCATTTCTTGCTTGTCTATTTGTCTTTGAAATATTATTTTTTTGCATATACCTCCTGCCTTAAAGATACAAATTAACTTGAGCGCTTCTCTGGGCATATCTTACTTAATTCAGTTAACACTAAGTCCATAATGTAATGTTTAAAAATCTTCTAGAGAAATATAATCATTTACATGTTTATACATATTCATAACACATTTCTTCTATTTTTTTCTCCACCATAGAAGTTGATAGTATTAGACAACTTACAGCAAAATGTCTTTGGAAAGCTTTGGGTCCTCTGTACGGGTGATTACCACATATTTCACAGGTGTAGGTCAGGTTAAGACCATGAAGTTTGTACAGCCAGTAAGGAATGGGCTGAAATTTAATGGAATTGAATTTAAATTTAGGAAAATTTAGTTGTTTTTATGTTAAAACAAATTTATAATGTTTAAAACTAATTTTTGAACGGTAATGTGTCAGAAATTTACAACTTAGCAGATAAGAAATCTCATCAGTGCTTTTGTTTTTTTTTTATAAGGTGGCATGAGAAATTTCCAAGACTGCTGTGACTGTGATTTGTGTGCTTTCAACCCATATGATTTTGTCTTGGAAGTTCAATGCCTTTAAGGAAGCCTCTTGAATTAATTGCATGGGTTGGTCTATACATAGAGTTTTTTCCAACACTCAAAGAGGTTCTGTCTTTTCAATCAGTTGAGGAGTCAGTCAAGACGTCCGCACAGAGAAGTTTGCTCCTCTGCTCTTATTCTCTCTAGAAAGCAGCACATTTCATTGGATAAAAATGACTGAACATATTCCCCTAACCTTTCCATCCCATCCAAGTGGGAGATCTTTTGGATTATAGGGTGCCTCATCACCGTCATCATCAGAGTCAGACTCTTCGAACTTTTCCTCATCTGACTCTTCTCTCTCCTCCCCTGTTTGGGCTTGCTTCCGTTGGACATTGTCACGAGTGGCCAACCTCTGATCACTAAGCATCTCTGTCAGTCGGTAAACCTGGGCCTCTAGCTGGGCAATTTCTTTTTGTTTCTCAGAATCTCTAAAAAAAATTATTTTTTTTAGAGAATGTTTACTTTCCATTTACAAATATATTATACTGTTAAGCAGAAAGGATTTTGATATCACTGCTGAGCTAGTGATTCAAGAGTTATATGAAACTTACTGTTAAATATTTTAATTTTTAATACATGTAAACATATATTATTTTAATTATCATTTTCATTCAAGGGACTAACTTGGTCTTTCCAACTTTTCCAGCTTTTCCAGGTTTGGATTTGGCAAACAAAGCTGGATCTAGCTCATCCAAACTCTTGCCTTTTGTACTAAATAGACGCTGAGCTCTCTGCTCCAATGTACTGCAAAATAATTAATGTCAAGTATGTTTAACAATAAGGTGGAGATGGATAGGTCATACCGGTACCATGAGAAAAACCATGCCAAATATACCAAAACAAGCACTGGTAAGGAATACCCAAGAAACAAGAGGACGAGGAAGCAGTGGCGTAAAAAGAGATGTGCGGGGGCCGGGTGGCACATTTTTCTTTATATTGAGGGGCGGCATTTTCTGCCAACTGCAGAGTTTTTTATGGGAGGTGGGGTGGCAGAATGTTTGGCCCACCCCCCGTTGGAACCAACACTACCTGCGCCACTGCCAAGAAAACCCAAAAACATTGGGAGAAGAGATGTTGACAAAGATGTTACAAAAACAGGAAAGAGTTAGAGAGGATAGCTAAGAGACTGGAAGGCTTCGACAGAAATTATTAATAGCCTATGCTCCACCGGGAGTTAAAAAGGCAAATAAGAATATTTAACTATTTGTTTTTCACTTATTTAACTATTTGTTTTTCACTGAACTGAATGAAGTTAACCAAAAAAACTGAACTATCAGGTCAGAATTCACTTTCATCAGCTTTATTTTTATTTTTCAATTTATTTTAACTTGAAGTAGATTTTTCTCTACAGTCCATCCATATTTAATATCTGTTTTAGCAAAAGATCTATGATTATACTCACCCTCCACATTTAACTCCGAGTGCCATTAGGGCAGACTTTAACCTATCCAACCCTAAAGATGCAAGCTCCTTAAATGAAAGAGATTTAAATATTATATAAGTGTATACCTTCAAAGTCTATGACTTTACAGAAAGTGGTAAGCATAATGTAATTTACTACACCTGCCAAAGATATACTATTTTTAATTACGGTATTTAATTTATTTTGTCATTAAAAAATATTTTTTTATTTAATTTATTTTGTCATTAAAAAATATTTTTTTATTTAATTTATTTTGTCATTAAAAAATATTTTTTTAACACCTTTTGTAAAATGTTCCAAGTGGAACAGACAAGAGAAGAGCATATTTTCATTGTATCATTTTTTATTTTATTATTTTTTTTTAAAGATTCAAAATATCAAAGAAAACGCTAAATTTTGTTTTAATTTAAAAAATATTTTTAACTAGAGTTTCTTTTAAAAATCTTACCTCCCATGAGGAAAATGCAGAGAGGTCAAGATGAGCACCAGAGTGGGTGAGAGCACCAGATGCTTCTTTCTGAAAAAGTAAATCATTGCAACCTTAGGTGACTGTGGATGATGTTACCATAGAGAGCCAAACATAATTTAGTCAAACTAGCCTTTATGTGAGGCAAATGAGAAGGAAAGAAGAGTGAATTGTGAAATAGCAAGCTTTGTCTGAACTTATTTATTTTAATTTAGAAAATTTTCACCAATGCTATGATAAGAAACATGAGTTATAGTTTTTAAAATATATTCAGGCAAATCCAAAAATGGAACTCACAGGCCAGCCAGGGAACAATCCATCGACCCACATCCTTTCAAATTCAGCTTGGACGTGCTCGATTTCCTGAAGTAAATCAATGGAATTTGGACTCCATAATTAAATAATCAAGTGGTGGGAGATATTTTTAAAAGGTTAAGACAAAACCAGAGGAAAGAAACAGGTCATTTAAATCTTATCTATCTTGAAATATATTTCACTTTTGCAAATAAACATATTGACATATTACACTTGTTGTTTCCTTTAAAAGTGAATATGTTTGAGAAGCACACATGACATAAGACGGTAACTGTTGTGATCAGAGTCATGGTAGATTGCCGCATTCATTTATTTCTTTTACATCATTTATACCGTACTGGGCAATGTATATCAAACAATAGACAAGCATTCCCTCAAATAATTTCAGGATAAAAGAGGAGATTTTCTAAAAAAAAAACGCAGGTCTTAAACTCCACGAAGTCAATGCCTGAAATAAATAGCAATTTTATTATGGTATTGAGATAATTTGAGTAGGAATATTAAAACCACTCACCTCACTGAGATCTGTAAGTGGCTTTATTTTAGACATGTACTCTCCAAGGTAATCCAACAAGAACACCAAATAACTGAAATATACGCACAACCGTTTTCAACTTTTTAAAGAAGGAAATTTCAGTTTTATTTTTAAAATTCCAATTAATAATCCATCCCTGTGGCGCTACAGCCATGTAGGGCTTTGGCCTGCCTCACCACTTCCTTCCACTCAGCCCTAACTAATGCCTTTCTTTTCCATGCTTGGACTTTCAGCTGCTGTCCAATTAATAAGCTAGGTCAAATTTTCTCCAAAATAATATTTTGTAAACATTTTTTTTAAGGGAGATCTAAAGAAATAAATAAATTAAATGTTTGTGACACAATTTTATTAGATTATTAGTTTTTGTATAACACAATTATTCCACAAAGACTATGTTGAGATCCAAAGCTAAGATTGACCTAGTTAACTGTTAAAATTGAATGGAAATTAGAATAATGAAAAAAGTTCATCAGTTTATAAAATGCATACATTGCTCAATAAAATTGGTCATAAAATAAAAATTATGATCATTCTGTCCCCTTCACTTGTAATTATTCTCCACCCTATCACAAAATGTCTGTTTAACTGTCCCGCCTTTTCTTTTCAAGCCTAAACATATCTTGTTCCATTATTTTGTTAATCACATTTGATGCCAGCAACAAAAGTTACTTACTCTCTGTATGCAGCATTCTTCCTATCTTTGGGTATGTCAAATAGGTGATCAAACGTTGACAGATAAGTTATGTAGTCAAGTTTCTGAGGAATAAAAATACCAGTTAATAAAAGAATGTTGTTGTATTTTTTTTTATATTAAAGTTTCAAACTTAATCTGGGTGGTGCACATGATATATGAAATATATATAATTATATATATTTAAAATATATAACAGTCTAAAGCTGTCATAATTTCAAGTAAGTTATCAGCAGAAATAAAAATAATTTGCTACCATAGGCATTCAATAGCATAGACTGATAAAAGAACCACTTTATTCTTAGAGGTACAATTTGTAATTATTGTCGTATCATGAATATTTAATTATATTTAATAAAATTGCTTCTACTCCAATAAAATCGTTCTTATTGTGCAGAAACCAATTGGAGTTTTAGACTTACTTCTACGCCTTTAAGATTCAGAAACTGCTCATAACATTTGTGTAAGTCCAGGTATTTACCATAGCCTTCCTCATCAGTAAAATCAACCAAATCTGTAATCAAAAATCTTCTTTTTAATGTAATCAACAGAAGAAAAGTTTGTAAATCAACAGAGCGAATCAAATCACAAACGGAAAGAAAAAGGTAAAAATGACCTTAGATGAACAGATTAAGCAGTTGATTACTTTAAGGTATATTTATGTCAGTTTGCCATTGCATTTGATGCCATAAGCATTATCAAGAATGAAATTAATTAATTAATTAATCTTAAAATGTCTAAGGGACCTTGGCGCAAAACAAAATTTGCGTATGATTTCTTAAAGAGATTTTGTTATAGATTTCTATCAAGAAATAAACATTTACCAATGCATTAGATATGATTACATATGTAGCATATTATAATAATAATAATAAAGTTTATTTCAAAAACACGCTTCATCCCCAAAGGCTCGAAGCGTGGTACAAAGTAATATAATTTACCACATTTAAAACAAACGCAACACTACAAAAACTAATTACAAGCATACCAAGTCAAAGTCTTTCTACCCATTTCAACCCTAAGCAACACAGCCAATATGCATTAAATGGAAGATATGGTAGACAATCTGAGAACTTACTCTGTGCTTCATCCGGCGGGTTCTCTCTCTGCTTTGCCAATTCATCAAATTCTATGGACATAGGTATGCTGACCTGAAATAAATTTTAGATTGAATAGTCTCAAGTTAGATTCAATTTACCAACAACAACTAAGGTATAGATGACAACTCAGTTTTTTCAAAGTTAATTCTTGTCTCTTTATCTGGGCAAAAATTTATCTTTTTAATCTCAATTTTAATGAATAATAAAAATTAAACAGTTAACCAACAGATATGTTTTGTCTACAAGCTAAGTCATCAGAAATTTTTCTTTCACCTCGTTGGGATGTTGGCGATAGAAATTTTCTATAGCATTCAATCTTTTCTTGAATTCTGCATACTCATTGGGACCAGCTAAAGTTTGAATTTCTTCCTTTCTAACACTAAGAAGATAGAATTTACTATATCATTATTAAGCAAATGAAAAAAACAAACAAAAAAAAAAAACCATGAATGAACATTTATTTATGAAAGTTATTGTCTATTATGATGTGTTTTCATTTTAGATGTCGGTGAATAATGTAAATTACATTTTACTACAATAATTGTATCCATTCATATTCAAATCACAACCTACCCATCTTTATCTTCATAAAGCTCTTTTAGTTCCCTTGTTGTCTCTAAAAATCTCTGAAAAAATGAGTTAAATATTGTGTATCTAAATATCTACATAATAATAAATATTTTACATTATGAGAATATTGCCAAAAGAGGTCAATAAACATAAGGAACTCTTTAAACTAAATTTACATTTATATGCCCTTGAAGCGTAAGCATATACAAACACATGCCCAAACATTTACTTTTTGAATTATATCATTTAACTTTCATTTGAAAGGAAGAATAATAATCATTAAAAATAAACTTTATATAAAATCATGTAGCCCATTCCCTAAAAATATTTGTTTTTAAATTAATATCAATCAAACTTACATCATGAAGAATTTTGAGTCTGTGATCAGAATTTATTTGCTCTCTTTGCTGTGAAGAAAATTATTTACAAAATATAATTTCCTTGTTACATCAAGTATATGTTTATGACTATAAAAAAACAAACACAAACTTGTACATAAATTCAACATACTTTAAATCTTGAAATTTTTTATTCATCAAGCAAAAAAAACAACACCATACCATCTAATCTAATAACTATTCCAAGTGGGATAAAATTGGACTAACAATAAATTGCTAAGTATAATTTATATGCCACTTTAATTACATAATGTAATTTCTAATCTTTAAGACTTACAAAGCTTAATGGAGATAAAGTTAAGATAGAAACAGCAAAAAGTTTTTTAAAATTTTAAAATATAAAATCTGTAATAATTGTAAAGGCAAAAAAAGCTAGGTTCTATATCCCATTTTGATTAAACAAACACATTAAGCCTAGCAGTCAGAGGCCTAACCCTCAAGGCTTAATGTTAACATCTTTCCCTTTGCTTATTAATTTATAAACTTATATTAGTGTTGGTTTTATATAGCGCGGTACCCCAGCCTAGGGCTGGGCTCAACACACTGTACATACAATTTAACAAATATAATCATGAACGTAAAAATTCACATACATTAATTAAATAAAACAAAACAAATGTATTCACTCCACACATTCAAGAACTATTTACATGTCAAGCCATGGATGGCTACCCAGCAGCATCATTTATCAATCAGAGGGGGGCATCAGCCAGGATAGTAGAGCTTGAAGAGATGTGTTTTGAGTGCAGTTTGAAGGCTGTGATGGTCTGTATATTGCGAATGTGTAGTGGAAAGAGAATTCCATTGTTTGGGGGCACAGAAAGAGAACAATCATTCATCGTATGTTTTTGTGCGAGTCTTAGGGACAGAAAGAATGCGGGCGACTGTGGAGTAGTGAAGCTGTAGAAGGGGTGAATAGACAGAGAGAAGTACGGTTAGATAGGAAGGGGAGGAATCCGAGAAAATGTTGTGTCACAGAACAGAGAGTTTGTAGTCAATCTGAACTTGAAGTGAATGAAGTAATGGTGTGACGTGATCACGTTTGTTTGCCTTTAGACTTAGCCTAGCAGCTGAGTTTTGAACGTTTTGTAATTTTTCTAAGAAGTGTTTTGGTGAACCTGATAGAAGAGAGTTACAATAGTCAAGACAAGAGAGAACTAGAGCACAGACTAGGATTTTTGTTGCACTAACTGTGAGGTATTGGAGGATGGAGCTGATCTGACGAATTGCGGTGTATGCAGAGCGACAAATGTGAAAAATATGATTATCGAAAGACATGTTGTTAGACAGAATATAACCAAGATTCCTAGCGGAGAATGTAAACTGTATGTCGGTGTTACCTACATGAAATGAAGTGAGGAGAGCTGAGTTAGAGGATGATTTGTGATCGTGAATAACAAGTGCTTCCGTTTTGTAATCATTAAGCTTTAACTTGCTGAGTGTCATCCATGTCTTGACATCACCAATGCTCTCCCGCAAAGTCCAGACAGCAATATCGACAAGAGAGGGATGGGTATGCTTGTATAGCTGCGTGTCATCTGCAAATGACTGACTTTCCACAGCAAGCCTCCCGCGCAAGAGGAGCAGTGGCCTGGTATACATTGTGAATAGAACCAGGCCCAAAACAGACCCCTGTGGCACTCCGTACACCAAGTCAGCACTGGTGACAGCCGTTGACAGCGACCGCCTGCATTTTATCGATGAGGTAGGACCTAAACCAAGCCAAAACTGATCCCGAAATTCCAAAGTAATTTTCAAAGGTTGTGTAAAGGGTTGCATGGTCAACAGTGTCAAAGGCCACACTGAGGTCTAAGAGGTTCAGGATGGAGATATCACTACTGTCCAATGCGAGTAAGAGATCATTGGTGACTCTCAAGAGAGCTGTCTCAGTGCTATGGAAAGGTCTATAGGCCGAATGATTAGGTCTGAGAAGAGCGTGGTCGCTTAAGTAAGCAAAAAGTTGCTTTAGAACTAGTTTTTCAATGACTTTAAATAGGAATGATAAGTTAGAAACAGGTCTATAGTTTTCTTAATTATTTAAATTAATACATGTTCTTTGATTTTCAAATGATCAAAAGACAGCACTTCCAGTGAGTGTCTTTTTTTACACTGGCGTTCCATCTTGGGGTATCAGCAAAGATGTGTTTCTTGTTTCATTTCTTTTGAAACTTGTAAGTTGAATTTTAATAAAAATTAATGGAAAACTTCATTTTGATTTACTTTAATGTCTGAACTGTAGCATTCGTCGTCAGATTTAGTTTAAGACGCGAGTAATGCTCAGTGATGAACGGGAACTTTATTGCACACAACGTTCAGGTCCAACAGTTAGTTTGTTCACTTTAACTTTAAGTATTGCAATTACCCAAGCCAAAGTGACATCGGTAAGCCCTGACATCAATTTATATTGGTATTAGATTTTAAAGTGAGACAACACTTGGCAATCCAAAATTTACTGAATTCGGGGTGATTACTGATAAATAAAAAATTAATGGACAAGCAAAGTGGCCATTTCATTTTCACTTTGTTTAAATTTAAGAAGTAAAAAAAAAAAGCATGCAGATATGCTCCATACATAGTCTAGATACTTCGGTAAATCAAGGGAGACTAGTACTTTTTGTGTATCGGAAGTGGCAATCGGCGCCGAAAAATCAGAGTTTTTAATTTTCCGATTTGTGTGTCGATTTATTATTAAATGAGTACTTTCGACATATTTCCATTTCCGGCCTTATATTTTGATAGACATCTTGGCCTACATTTTAATCAATTTCTTTTTCATTTACAATCAGTCAGCTTTGAGAAAATCCTTGGTAAATATAAGGCAACTTTCATCATTAAAATTAAGTCGAAGTAAAAGATTTGCCCCTACCAAATTTTTTTTTGCATCTGGGGAATGTATTGATCTGAATGTATGCCAATTTTCACAGCGATATGTTACTTACGAGAGACGCCATGTTTCTACGGGTTCGCAGCAGGTCATGTAGTTCGCTCAACCTAATTTCGCCATGGGGTGGGCCACGCCCCTTTTTTAATGGCGGAAGTTGCAGATACTTAGGAAATATTAATTTATTACCACTATTTACATCAAAATATTTGATAACTTGTGTTTCAGAATGCATTTTGAAGACATTTAAACTGGAATGTATTAGTTTGAGCTTTAAAAACCTGGTGGAGTCCATATTATAAATGATCAGAATTTACAGTGTGCAACACATTGTCATTGGCAACCATTCATAGCCACTTGCATAATGGCTGTATCGTAGTACTACCTCAGAGTTTCATTCATAAGAGTTTGCCGTGTGCAAAAACTATTATACCATTGGCCAATGGTGAGGGAAAGCTTTAATTAATTATTCATGTGCCAAAGTTGAAAGTTTAAACTAAGTCGACCCCAACAGTATTTTAGTGATAAGGCGATGCGTTGCCTTATATAAAGTATATAGTCATTGCGCATGACGCGATTAGTGGAATGAGGTCACAAGATGTGGAGGTTTCATCCATAGTAAAAAATACCAAACGAACTCACACTTTAAAAATTCGTAGCTCAAAAAGTACTTAAGCTAAAACGTTGATTCTGGTTTCATTTTTTTATTTGAAATTTGCTCTAACTAACTGTGTTATTAAAAAAAATATTTCAATTTTTTTTTAAATTTTGTATTCAAGTACCTAGTCCATAGTAAAAAATACCAAACAAACTCACACTTAAAAAATTCGTAGCTCAAAAAGTACTTAAGCTAGAAAGTTGATTCTGGTTTCATTTTTTTAATTTGAAATTTGCTCTAACTAACTGTTATTAAAAAAATTATTTCAATTTTTTTAAATTTTGTATTAAAGTACCTATATAGTCCATTTCAAACGACACACTGACGCACATACGAGAACGAGTTTGTTAAAAATAAATTTATCATACGGTTTTCTTTTGTAGAAGCATTTCACTGGTCATTGCTTCCATTAACCTCTCCCTTTCTTCATGATTGCGGCGCTGTTGTTCAAGAATCGATTCCATAATCAAATTTTACTGATTTCAATACTTCATGTAGTACGTGTTAATATATCAATACTAACACTAAAACACTAACACACTTCAAGTTGGTTGTTTATAAAACAAAACACAACCTGTACCGGAAGTAGGATATTCAATATGGCTACTCATTGTTTCCCTTTTTTTGAAAAGGTTAATATATATATTTGAAAATATGTTATTATCCAAAAAATAACTTATAGTTTTGGAAATAAAGAAAATAAAAGTAATATATTAAAAAAAAACACAATTTTCTTTAGCCCCAAAATAAATTTATAAATATTTAAAAGTTAAAAGGTAGTTCAGCTGGCCCTGTGGCGCAACGGTAGCGCGTCTGACTCCAGATCAGAAGGTTGCGTGTTCAAATCACGTCGGGGTCATCGATATTTTTATATTCAGGATAATGTTCATTAAAATGATCAGAATAGCTGCTTGCTCAGCACAATGATCTTGACACGTTTTTTTTTTTTTTTAAATTTTGCTATAATTTTTCAATGTCAACGTTTTGAATATAGATAATTGTTCAATTTTGATTCTTTTCAAGTCTGTATTCATGAATGTTTATTTTGTTGTACAAAATGTGCATATTTTGATGGACCATAAAAAGGAAAAAGCTAACTAGGGTAGGCGGGTAGGGTGTAGGGAAAATGCGAAGGTGTGGGGGCGGAAGGGTGTTGATCGTTTATTGTTTTATTATTTAAGTCTCAAGTCATCTGTAATGTTTTTGAAATGATGACACGCAAATGATGTTTCATCTCCTTTGTTATGTTTAATGTTACCATTGTGGAACGCTTGTTTGTTAACTGCGAACTCTCTGTTGCTGTTCTGATGTATTTATTTATTTGTTATATCGCATCGGAATTTAGTGCCTACTCCATAGTATTTCTGATTGATCCCCAAAACGTATATAATTCACTAATTCTTCTAAGCAGTGAATTATAAACTTCGAAGCCCCTGACTCCTCACTTCAGCCACATAAACACCACCCCAACCTCAAAATCACCCCCACCTCAAAATCCACCACCCCAACCTCAAAATCCACCACCCCACCTCAAAATCCACCACCCCGACCTCAAAATACACCACCCCACCTCAAAATCCACCACCCCGACCTCAAAATCCACCACCCCAACCTCAAAATCCACCACCCCAACCTCAAAATCCACAACCCCGACCTCAAAATCCACCACCCCAACCTCAAAATCCACGACCCCAACCTCAAAATCCACCACCTCAACCTCAAAATCCACCACCCCAGCCTCAAAATCCACCACCCCAACCAGCAAATCAGCTCTCTCCAAGCAGCCCAATTTTCTTCTCAACCTCTATTATTTTTTTTATTTTTAACGCCACCCCACTGTTCGGTCTCCGCCTTTTTTTCTAAACCCTCCAGTAAACACCCTGTCCCATCCCTTATAAACTACGACCATAGTTGGTCATCCTCCACCCAATCTGTGTCAAATCATTTGCATTATACTACATGCCAGAATACATCAATATGCAATAATAATAATAATAAAGTTCATTTCAAAAAACACGCTTCATCCCTAATTAAGGCCCGAAGCGCGGTAAAAAGTCAACCATATACGACAATTTATATTTTTCCACAAATAAAATGCGAAACGCAACAATACAAAAACTACATCGAGGAATGTGAGCACGCTGGAAACAAGGAGGTAGACTACATCACCCCAGCAGGTGAGTGTGAAAAAGATGTGTTTTCAACTTAGTTTCGAAAGACTGCAGTGTCTAGCTGTTTCTGAGAGCGACAGGAAGGGCGTTCCAGATTCGCAAAAGCGAAAGTGTGCCTTCCATAGGTCTCAAAGACGGACTTGCGGTATCCAGAGTTTACCACTATCGGATGGACGGAGTGATCTACTGGGACCAATTCCTTCCACTCAGACCATACATCCATTCATGTGGCACTACGGCCCATGAAGGGCTTTGGCCTGCCTCACCACATCCTTCCACTCAGACCATACATCCATCCCAATGGCACTACAGTCCATATAGGGCTTTGGCCTGCTTGACAAGTTCCTTCCATTCAGAGTCAGACCTAATACTTTTTTTTTCCATGCCTGGATTCCCAGCTGCTGTAGGTCCCTCCTAGCCGTTTTCCTCTTAGGTTTTGGTGGTGCACCTTCTTCACTCCTGTCATTTGGCATTCTTTCTAAGTGTCCCGCCCAGCGTTGCCCCCCCCCCCTTTTTTTCCTGCTACTATTGTTGGATCCTCTTATAGGCTTACACTGTACAATTTCCTGGTTGGTTCGTATTCTACATCCATATTCATCCTTTTGATGGTCCGTATATTTTCTGGAGAACTTTTCTCTACTATGTGTTTAATAGGTTTTCTGCGGTTTTAGGTAGGTAGGGTCCAAGTTTTACTTGCGTATGTTACAACTGGTCTGATTAGTTTTAAATATACAGGTATATTATTTTTTTCTTTTTCTTGTAATTTTTTTAAAAACTTTTGCGTATTTATTGGACTAAGGCTAGCAGTAAGTTTAATGTACTTCCATTTACTCCAGACCATTAATCGAATATATACATATTATATATTTGTGGCCGAGTGGTCTAAACTGAGCAAATCTCAAGTTGGTGGTCTTGAGTTCATTTCCAGCCAGAGCCCAGTCAAGCAATAACACCACCAGCACCCCGGGTAGATGAGACTCGTTAACCTTGGATGGAAACTCATCTAAGAGAAGGAAACTCTGAAATCAAACCCGGAGATGGAGTCCCGAAAGGCGGATAACATTGGTACAATGAAACATTCCGACAACTCCTGCGACGTCACTGTTGCCAAGCTGTATCATCCAATGATGTTCCCTTGGGCTATCCAGCGGCGTGGAGAGAGGTGATTTGCTGTTGGGAACCAGCTTATAATCCTTGAAGAATAATCCCAGGCCATGTGGATTTCGTCCTCCGAAGCCCACTCCATCGTCACATTGTGACGGACGGATGCCAGCAAAAAAAAAATATTTGTAAAAGTTGTTTTAAAAAAAACAAAAAAGAAAGAAATCTGAGCAGTGCATTTAGGTGGATCGTATGCCAAATTTCATATCTACAGCATTCCGTAGTGAATTCAGTTACAACCTTTTGATGAAAATGAATGGTACTGATTAAGTTCATTAAGGTCAAAACAAATGACAGAAAAATCTGAAAATTTATTTGAACAGCCATTTATTTCAACACTTATAATAATGGTTTCTTACACTGTCATAACATAAATCTGATTAAATGTTAGAAATTAAGAAGAAATAATAGAAGTAGTTAATAACAATAATAGATCAACACCAAGTACTCTTAGTCTTATATCAGTTTTTTTCTAGAGTGAAGTGTTTTTGTTCGTTTGTTGACAGGTTAAAAAAAAAATATAAGTCTGGTGTCATTCTTACAAAATGTTATATGTATTGAGAAAGTAATGGAAGGTTAGGCACTTAACATCTATTTATGAGATAATCACTAGAAGAAGAAAAAAAAATGCGTATGGCTATATAAATAAACCAAGCAAAATAACTCACGATTGTTCTGCTACCTGATTTATCCATGATATGCAACTCTAAACATTTTTTCAAGTTGTTTACCAGGAAAAAAAAGAGTGCCAGATATTTTAATGGAGAAAGAGTCATAGATGTAGACCAGAAAGAGCCAGAAAGGTTCAACCTGTTTCATTAACTTGAGCTGATTTTTTTTTTTTTAAATGCCCTATTGAAATAACTGTATCATTTATTTTTTTTTTTTCTTCACAAAACATCTTTTTGTAAACTTAAAGATCAGCATTTCTGGAATGCAACTTTGCATTGCCCCAAGTTTTAAGATATTTTTTCTTTGTTACTGGGCTACGTCAAATTTAATTTTTTTTTACCCAGCATCAATTTATAATTTGCACATCTTAAGTTAAAAAAAAATGTATGTGGTTATTATATTACACAAAACAACTGTTTCAAGTTTCAATCTTTGAATACTTTATAAGGGCACTGATTAAAATAAATGCACCGGGATTTCATCTAATTTTGTTTAAACATTCTTGTGAAATCCAGACAAGTGCGTACAAAAATAATACTTCATGCCCATGACATCCAGCCTTTGTCGAAGAATTAACTGGTCTTTCCGGTTTCAGGAGTTAAAAGAACTTCTTGTTTGCACCAAATGTTAACGATTCTTTTAAAAAAGCAGATCTTTCCATTTTCAAGCCATATCATACATTATGTCTCTGGTCATACATTGGTCAAAGTCTGCTATCTTACTGTTATAACAAATCAACAAATTATATTCAGGTCCCATGCCCATATTCAGAGATCCTTGTGTTCACTGTTAAATTAACTAGACAAATGCCAAAAAACATAGCACAGTTGAAAAAAAACGACAACAACTTTGAATAAGGTGAATTATGGAAAGGTTTATGCCACTTTTCTTTAAAAACTATTAAAAACCGTAAAACATTTGGATAATAATCTTTGCCATTTACAGCTTGAGCCAAATTACATGTTAATACATATTTCTCAATCGTTGCTGTGCTTACAAATTTCTTTCTACAAATATTGTCATATGAACAAATCGTTTGTGAAAGCATATGTACCACATTTCACAAAAGCTAATGTGCTTTCTTGCTCATTGGTATTGTCTGTATTCTCAACATAAAATAACTCGACATAAACATGTGAGCTGCTCTTGTGGCACCATGACACAGGGGATGATCATTGAATGTCATAACATGTTTATAAAATTAAAATGTCAGCTACATAGCAATGACATCATTGAAACATTACAATTGTAGTATTTTATAGGTCATAATAGTCATTAAAAAATATAACATGTTTAATTATGAATGTAAACAGTACAGTTGTGGTTAGCTTGAGGTAACTATTATGCAGTCATACACTGATCAACATCTGTTGTCTTACATTATGGGTAACATAAATGGTGGTGTATGAAAGGGGTGGGGTGCGGAGGAGGAGGTCAGCCCTTGCATAACATTTTTTCCTTTATATTTAGCCGGCGGCACTAATCCTACCTACAAAAGTGAAAAATAAAATTCTTGTTTGTATCAATGTAACAGTTATTAATTTGTTTTAATTTATCATTTCATATTTTTAGAATTGATGTGTCATCTCCCATCATTATTGTCATGTTAAAATGAAATAAACTGGTACCTTGACACAATACAATAGATCAATGTTTAAAAATCCAAGATAAAAATTAACTCTTAACACCTTCCCACTTTGTCCATAAAGAGCCACTGGTACTGGTAGCGGTTTTAAAACACTAATTCTGGATTACAATGAGTACAAAAATATATGCAACAAAAGTCGTCAACAAGGAATGGGCTATTTACAGTAATCGGGTAACGGTATGACAACACTGAGGCCACTTTTAAAAGGCACGAGCAACTCTTCGTCATGTCGGGGAACTTGCGGTTAATGACACCGTGATCAAAAACTATTGAGGTAATTTATTATTTCGATGGCAGTAAAATTAGCTGCAGTTTGCTATCGTCAATGCTGGAATCCTGACTTGCTTATTATTAAAATGAAAATCTTTTCTAATTATAAATTACAAGAAAAGTTTCTGGTGCTAAATTGCAGGCTGTAGTAACTTCAAGCTATGATAGTCCATAAAAAGATACAGATCTTGTGATGGACATCACTTCTCTACTGCGATGGGGATCTTACGACTTGGCATTTGATATAGACACAGACACATGGGAAGAAGCAGCAAAGGGACTAGCATTGTGGCGTTCCTCTGTACACCAATCTCCTTAGAACATGAAGCCAACAGAACAGAGGCTGCAGAGCACAAAAGACTTGCCAGAAAAGCCCGGGTTAACACCTGGCGATGTCCCATCAATCCTCTGCACCTACTGCACAAGAACATTTCGTGCCAGAATCAGCCTCATAAGCCATCTGCGCACCCACAGCCAAGTTAATAATTAGCATTTACGAAGAATAAGGTGGCCAGTCCATTTCAACTGGTGAACTATGTATATATGACTTGGCCAGGTTTTTAACAACCACTTTAAAACTGTTCTCAAAAAAAAAAAAAAAAAAAAAAAAAAAAATTTTTAAAAAAGCCAGTCCATTTCAACTGGTGAACTATGTATATATGACTTGGCCAGGTTTTTAAAAACCACTTTAAAACTTTTCTCAAAAAAAAAAAAAAAAAAAAAAAAAAAAATTTTTATAAATGAAGTTTTAAAATACATATATTGAATTATACACATACTGATTTGGGATTTTAATATAGTTAGGCTTTAATATATTTTTTATTGCAGTCAAACCTTTTTTTATAATCTTAATATATGATTAACCTCAGCCTGTGCCCAGATTTTTTATAGTGATGTAAACCTAACATTTGGAGGCATTATCCTAAGTTTAATCCCCTGACATTTCTTTCTAACATAAAATATGATGAATCATTAAGAGATATATTGATATTTTTAACAATTTTTAATAACCCCAAAAATTTCAACCTGCTTATAAGTTCAAATATATATAAATTATTATTTGCATACAAATTATGTAGATTATTTTAATTGAATCACAAACTCTTATTATAAGGCCATATGAATAAGAAAACAAAGTTTCCCACCTTTACTTGGGCAACACTTACTAACATACAACCAGCACAGAATTTCAAACAACTCAGTTTAACTCACGACTCAATGATTTCCATGTACTCACTGTAAACTTTAAAAATCTCTACACATAGTAATGGGGATCAGTTTTCAAATGCTGTATGTTATAATTAATAATTAAAAATTAATTTTTGCTAACAGATACTGCCTAGCAAAAAAAAAATAAAAAACAATAACTTTTTTTTGAGTTAAAAACAACTAATGTTAAAAGAAATAATGTGTAATTGTCAATCATTCAATTATTCAAAATTAATTCTTGTTAAATTTTGTACAAAGTAAAATTTTATTCATTGACATCAACGTCTAGCATCAGAAACTCCTTTAGGTACAGAGATCTCCAGACCATCCATATCTTTAGTAACAATTACTTGACAACCCAGCCGTGATCTGCAACATCAATTTAATTTCTACCATGAGTATCTTTTCAAATAGTTCTACAAGTAACACATTTTTAAAAAATAAAATTATTGGGAAGATTTACAAGGGACAAAAAAATTTAAATAATGGTTATATAACACATCTACACAATTAATAAAGTGCTGTACAAACATATGAGCATAAGCATGTCTCTTTAAGTATTACTTTTAAATGTTAAAGCAAGTAATTAATTTTTTGCAAAGAGAAGGATATAATGGAATAATATTCAATTTGAAATATGTTATTGGATTAAACAAGATACTGCCGAGTGGATGCAATCCTTTGAACATATTTGAACATACTGTTGTTTTCACTATAATGCTAAGTTAACCCTCTTTGGACAGTTGGGCCAATCAATGGGCCCAGGGTTAAAAGGCGAAATAGATGAAAGGCAGATCCATCTGCCCAGCTAATCAGATTGCTTCCAGCATTTCTCGGCTCATCTCTCCATTTTAATGGCAGCTTCCATTGATATTTTAATGTTCTGACATTCTATATCAATTTTTTTGCACTTAGTGACACCTAAAAATATTACCTTGAAATATGTCAAAAGGCATAAGCAGGCCAAGGGCAATATTTTATGTAGATTTTCACACTGATCTCATTTAAATGTTAGTTAGGATTTATTTAGACTTCAACAATCATAAAATTTAACTAAATTCTGCAAGTAAGATGTGTCCAAAAAAATTGCAATTTATGCAAATCAGGATATCTCATTTGCATAACTGTTGACATTTCAGTTTGACTCATAAAGATTGTATTAGGTCATTCAATCCCCTATAAGAATATTTATAGTTTTAAGTTTGTAAAGTAATTGCTTTATTTTTTTATAATGCAAAATGCGTGCAGAGTTTGCAAAAAGGGCTCCGTCCTCTTGGTGCCGACACTTCAAAAAAGGCTCTGTCTCAAATGGGTTAAAATAAGCTTGATTTATGACACAAAACACTTTTAAGAGCATTTAGAGAATTTTCTAAAAGCAAAACCTTTTGTGCCTATTCTAAGCACCAGCACAGTCATACTGACACATTATACTCACGTCTCTGTGAGCCCAAAAGCTAAGTCTAACATGTCAAGCTCTTCATCTGTGGGCTTATCTGGAATCTTGTCATAATCCTCCTGCTTAAAGATGAGATGGCATGTGGAGCAAGCCAGGGTTCCTTCACAGGCACCTGAGACCAGAATGTTGAAAACAATGAAATATTCATTGTGATGGGGATAATGGCCTACAAAGCTTTATTGGTTTTTTTGTTCTTCCCCAGCCCTTTTTCTGCAGATACGCGGCTCTAAGACAGCTGTCTGGCAACTAAAAATTCACTCATGTTGAAATCAAGTAATTATGCATTACCGGCTACAGATTTGGATTATTGATTGCCACATTTACAAAGATAAAATGTCATGAAATTCTTCATGTGCATTTAGAAAAAAATATTATGTAAAGAACCCTAATACTTGAGGCTCATGAATCAATCATGTATTTCCCGGTAAACAAGCGTTTTCACTTTTAAAAACAATTATCTTCATATTATAACCAGATAATATTCTTTTTTTATTTAAATAACTTGAATTTAAACAAAAAATTATTTTACCTATTTTGTGTGAAAAGTATTTACGTTATTGCATGAAATAATAAAAAAAGAAACAAAATAAAAATGAATACAAATATTTAAAAACAAATAAAATAATCCTAAAAAAGTGTAATTTCCATTACTAGCAGATTCAAGTCAGAGTCAGTGTCATATTTTATCTTTAAATTAATAGACTTTTTTGAATGTGTAAAAAAATTAACATTAAAAAAACTGACCAAAGCCATCAATATCCACACTATTTTCTACAATGATGTCCAACAAGTTGTCCCCCACTTTGGCCTTGACTTCCTGTCTTTGGCCATCTCGTAATAGGAAAGTCACTTTCACTCTGAAATGAATGCCAGAAATGGATAAGAAGATATTAACTTAAAATCCGCAAAAAAATATCAGAGTTGAAAATATAAAAAAAAGTTATTAACCAATAGACCAGAAATTTAAGGCCAATGTTCAAACAATAAAATTATAAATACGGCATATAAAACTCATGGTTTTTCATGTTTAGGCTACTATTTAGAGCTCAAATGTATTTAGTTCCTATTTGACATTGCAACTGACATTTTTGGTCTATAGGTATTCAGCCTCAGAGAGAGCTACCTTCTAACTCGACTTCATTATTTATGGCCACAGTGAGCAGTGACTCCCCAACAGCAGCCTTAGTGATAATTCTGTCTCCATCACGATCAATAAATATAACAGTCACACTGAAATACAAGGCGTTATCTTACTTTACCTGAACGTTAATTGGGCAAATCAAATGTTCATACATAATAACATATGTATGTAGATAATTTAATTGAACTTTAAAGTTTCTACCAAATTAAATGCTTTTATTATGCAAGCATAACTGGCTAACAAAGCAGTTTAAAAAAGACTTTGTGGTTCATTAAAAAATAAAAAAATAATAATTAAGCATTCTTTGTTTTAACAATTACCCTGTGCTTTATTTTAAACCTCTATTCCAATGGCAAGACTTAATCAATCAAGACGACTAGAACTAGACCAGGATGCAGTAGATGACCGGCAATGTTATTTTGTGGGTTTTACAGTGCTAAATCTTACCATTGGATCAAATAGTCAAGGACGAGAGTGTTAGGATGATGACAGCTCAATTCAAGGCAACTACTCAAGCCAAATATTGCCTAGTGATTTTTGCTTGCAAAGGACGAATTTTAATAAACCTTTATTATGATTCGTATATTATTATTAATGTGGTCCTATATAGCGTGCTACCCCAACCTAGGGCTAGGCTTACCGTGCTTCACATAAAACTTAGCACAAAAAAAAAAAGAAACATGACATTAAAATACCACAACATTGTACACAGCTTAAGTTAATTTTTTATTGATCATCCTTTATTAGGTTATCTTTACGAATTAAAGTGAATCAACAATCCTGATTGCAGAACCAGAAATAGCAAATGGGTTTAGGATTGCATGTTAATATCCAAGCTTAATTACACACAGTACTTGTATATATCCTTAAGCTTTCAACAGGTAACTATTAAACTAAGGCATTATTTCAACTACAAATCATTAGATGTACTTAACATATAGTTGGTGTCAAATGGGAAAGTGTGTATTAAATTTCAGACTCCTTGACAGGCATTCCAAGTTGATAGATTTTGGGAGCTACTTGACATTGTCAATTATTGTCATTTAAAAGTGCTTTATATCGGAGAAAAAAAAATGAGTCCCTATTAATAATTATTATTCCAACAATTTCCATCCTTTGACTACGGTAGTCTAATCATAAAAGTTATGAATAGAAAAATCTACTTTGATGAACAATCTAACAATTCTGAAATCTGTACGCAGCAACAGAATTAACCCGAATCCCCCATCAGATCATCTCCAGGCCAGTTTGAGGTGAGTGATCAATTTCACCAAAATAAAAAGCTCAATGATTAAAGCATGAATTATGCATATATTTGTATTAATATGTAATGACAAGATATAAGTTAATGAAAATAAAGTTTAAAAAATGTTAGTAATTTTGGTTAAAGACAAACAACAACTTTTGACAGTGGCCAGAGTACTTACAAGTCTTTCTGTGGCTTTGGTACTGAAGAACAAAATCGATTGACTTGCAATGTTGAATTAGCTTTAAGCTGAGACCATGACTGACTTGTTATGCTAGGTACATCTGAGGCAAGCATTCTTGACACTATGGTTCTTATAAGTCTTTTAGTATACATTGTTTATTTATACACAATTATATCACTGCAGATTGGCAATGATGCCTGTTATAGAGTTTTCTCAACACTAATACAGAGCTGATTGACAACTTATTCTTATCTTATTGAGAACAGTCTCAGTATTGCTTTACAACTTTATGGACACAATACCACTTTATTTCAGTTTACCAGCAGACTCAAACTGAAATGAAAGAAGTTAAGTATAAATTATAATTACCATATTTATTGGCGTATAACACGCCCCCACGTATAACACGCACCATGCACCTCAATTTAAGAAGGAAATTTCAGGAAAAAAAACTAAACATTATATCGGTGTATAACATGCACACATCATTTGCCCCCTATTTTCAGGGAGAAAAAGTGCGTGATATATGCCAATAAATACTGTAATTTGAAAGTGGCCCTTGCCTTTAATTATTGATTTATTGAGCTAGTCTTATACTATTAAACTATTATTTCTATCTGCGATCTGTGTTTTAACATTTTATTTTAAAAATAAGTTAACTTTCAACTTACAATCTACTAATTTAAAATTTTATTTCACATATCAAATAATCTGATCTCAGTTGGTGAGCATAAGTGTGGTTTTCTTAGACTTATAAAGTAGCCAGAAAAAATTATAGTTATACTATTTATTTTATTGTGTAGTATAGTATAGCACCTAAGATATGTACAATAAATGTAGGCCTATTTACTCTTACACTATGTTTTAAGTTACATTTTTTAAAGTGTAACAATCGGCTAGCTACTAAGCTAGGACTATATTATATTTTGGTATTATTTGCCTATAAATATAATAATTCAATATTTTAAATGTTGGCTTAGGCATTACTAATACTATATCACTAAGGGGTCGTTTGAAAAATTACATCACGCTTAGAGGGGAGGGGGTAAGAATTGGTGACATTTTTGTAGGGGGGGGGGGGTAAATATTTCTTCCCTTAAATGTAAAATTTTCTAATTTTTAAAATTTTTTATTCAATTAATCTTAAAAATATTAATTTGAGGTCAAAATTGCCAGTAACGTGAAACTCATAGAAAAATACTACATCTTATTNTAAGGGGGTGTGGGGGGGGGGGGGAGGGAATAACAGAATTTGTGACATTTGTGATTGTGACAGGGCGTAAAGGGGGTCTGAAAAAGTCATTTTTTGTGCGACGTAATTTGCGAACTACCCCTAAGTCCTTCTAAGTGGCCATTACAATAATAGTTACATTATAATTATTTATCTTTGTTGAGTTTGTGCCTGACTACTGTCCTATGCAGTATGCATAAAAAATATAATTAATAATTTAATGCCTACTAATTTACAATTACAATACATTGTGATTGTGAGTGTCCTAAATTTAAATATTTAATGCACCTGTGACCTGCTTTACTTTACTTAACTTCCTTTTACTTTTACTAGTTTGATTTTGATCTTAGTTTAAATTTAAGGAGTTTAATTAGGTCCTAAGAGTAAGCCAAAGTCCTTAGCCTTAAGTAAGGAGAGGGCACATGAAATTAAATAGGTCTAAGTTACAGTTAGTGAACTTGCTATACGATTGTCATTGGCCATTGGTATGCCTAAATTAAATTAAATTATAGAAATATATGGCCAAATATATATATATTATATATATAATTATATATATATATAGTATAGGCCTGCCCTAGGGCTTAGTTAAAATAATATAATATTATTAATATAGACTAATCACAGGAATGAATGAGATCCATGACATGACATTTCACTCTAAAAGTTTAATGAAAAAAGTGCATTTAAACACTGCCACTACTATTCAGCTCAGTCAATTTGTGACTATACTTTTTTTGAGTCTACAACCAGTAATTTAGTCTTTAGTCATATCATATGAGTATGAAAGTATGAAGTATGACTTTGAATATCTATGTCTATATTTTAAAAAAAAATTAAAATTCCATTAGATTTATAAATTTAAGAACTCTTTCGCATGCAATCATACAATACAAATCATAGAAGTTTTGAAATATAAAAAGTTATTAATAATGCAGTTTACCTACTGGACGTGTCCGAACATTAAGCTTAACCTAGAAAAATGACAATCAAACAACTCTTGAACTTGTAAAAAAATCAGTCCAATCCAGACTAAGCTCTTCAACCACAGCGAATAAAAAATTTTTTATAATGCTGTGAATGTGATTCCTACTCTGGAAGAATACATTATACTTGTGGTCACGTGTTTCCGTTAAAGACAGAGGTTCTCAAGTTTTATTGAAAACCTCGAGGAGTTGGCAATGGGTGAAAATACAGAGCCGTTCTTAGGAGTTTGGGGGCCCTAAGCATGGAGCGTAGTTTGGGGGCCCCGAAAGGAGGGGTCCGGGGGTGGAGCTCCCTCGAGCTGAGGAGAAAACACCACCCACCACTGCGGCACCTCCATTCTGCCTTCCATGGGCTTCCGCAGGGGGGGGGGGTAAGGGGGCACTGCGGCGCCCCCCCCCCTGGGATTGATTGGATAATTTTTTTTTAAGACAAAAATAGACAAAAAATGTATTAAAGTAAAGAGAAAATAAAGAGAAAGTAACTAAGCTGATGTCCTGTCCGTTCGTTCACCATACAAATACGCTACAGTAAATTAAAACTACATTAAAACATTAC